GGTTTTATTCACGTTATACACATTATAGTTGTACACCATAGAGGTGATCATGTCAGAAAGCAGGCATGATTAGATCGGACTGGGTACATGACGATCATGATAGCATTTGACCTGGTCTTTTGGATAGCCTTTATTTTACGGCGTCAGCGAGCGGATACCTATGGTGGGCTATAATACCCTTTGATGAACTTTGCATGTTGGGATAACCTTGGATATGGGCTGCAGTAGCATATGCGGGCTACTCGAATACAACAAAACGTTAAACATTCTATTCGATCTTTGTTCCACCCGCAAGTGACACCCGAGTGATTGCAACGTAAGCTTTTTATGAGATGACGACGCATTGCTTGGTGAGGCTCTGCTCAGACCCGGATTGCCGGACTGGACCCGCAGGCACGGCAGTCTTGCCCAAGTGAGCTGCAGTGATGATGTCGAGGTGGGGACCTTGAATCGCGGGGCAATGGTCGAAAAGGCCGAACACAGCAAGCTGTTCTCGGAATCTGGCCGCACCCCCATGCATTTCAGAGTCGCTGCGAACGGCGTAAACCCGATTCTCACCAGCCACTATTCACTAGCATCGAAATGATACACATCAAGGGCAAGTTTGAGATATAGACGAATTGAAACGAGTTGCGCAAAACGTGGTTATCGGCGAAAAGTGGCTGGTGAGGCTGAAAGAGGGATAGTGCTGTGGCGCATGCGGGTCGATTAGAGGACAGATTTCTTGGGGTGCGCCGAAGTCGAGACAAGTGCTGTTGCGCCGCCAGTGCAGCCGTTTCTGCCGCGGACAGTCGCAGAATCTTCTATCGTCTTCTCCTGCGACTTACTTGTGCCAGGAAAATACAGTCCTCTCCTTTCTAACTCAAAGGAATAACGTGGACATTGTCAAAGTTCATTTCAACGTCATAGGCGAAGATACCTGCGACTTGGGAGGCCAGACATTTCTAGAGCCGAGATATCCCTGCGAACAACACCAACGCGCAACGATTGAGCCATCACACAACGAACCGTTGAACGAGTGGTATACTGAGCGAAGGATACCCGGTGGAAAGAGTAGTGGGCATGGAGAATGCGTACACCAAGACGCCTGCTGAGGCGCTGAGGTACTTCCAGGTCGAGAAACAGAAAGGTCTTAGCGCACAGCAGGTGCAGAGCGCGCGGGAGAAGCATGGAAAGAATGGTATGTTATCATCCCCGTGGACTGGGGCGACGACAAGGTGGACATCGGACGATGTGCATAGGGGAAACGGACAATTGCTAACATAAGAAACAGCGCTACCAGAAGACCCCCCAACTCCCATCTGGGAGCTCATCCTCGAGCAATTCAAAGATCAGCTGGTCATCATACTGCTAGGCTCGGCAGCAGTGTCGTTCGTACTTGCGCTCTTCGAAGAGGAAGAAGGCTGGACCGCATTCGTCGACCCTGCAGTTGTACGTACCAGATCAGGGGCATACATGTGTCTTGGCTAACATTCATGTCTACAGATCCTCACCATTCTCATCCTAAACGCTGTCGTCGGAGTATCGCAAGAAACTAGCGCCGAGAAAGCCATCGCGGCCCTCCAAGAATACTCAGCCAACGAAGCGAAAGTCGTACGCGACGGACATGTCAAACGCGTCAAGGCTGATGAGCTGGTTCCTGGAGATGTCATTTCGGTTACAATTGGTGACAGAATACCCGCTGACTGCAGGATTCTGTCCATCTCGAGCAATAGCTTCAACATCGACCAGTCTATCTTGACTGGAGAGAGCGAGAGTGTATCCAAGGATACCAGGGCCGTCAAGGATGAGAATGCTGTTAAGCAGGACCAGGTTAATATGCTCTTCTCGGGTACTACGGTTGTCACAGGTCATGCGACTGCGCTGGTTGTCCTGACGGGTGGTAACACCGCGATTGGAGACATCCATGAGAGCATCACGGCACAAATTTCCCAGCCCACCCCTCTCAAGGAGAAGCTCAATGACTTTGGCGACCAGCTCGCAAAGGTCATCACGGCTATCTGCATCCTCGTCTGGCTCATCAACATTGGCAACTTCAGCGACCCCTCGCACGGCAGCTTTACCAAGGGCGCTATCTACTACCTCAAGATCGCTGTTTCCCTCGGTGTTGCTGCTATCCCCGAAGGTCTGGCCGTCGTCATCACAACATGTTTGGCTTTGGGAACGCGCAAGATGGCTGCAAGGAACGCCGTCGTGCGAAGCCTGCCTTCTGTCGAGACACTTGGTAGCTGCAGCGTTATTTGCTCCGACAAGACAGGTACTCTTACCACCAACCAAATGAGCGTAAACAAGATGGTTTTCCTCAACGAACAAGGCAGCGGTCTCGAAGAGTTTGACATCGAGGGTACTAGCTTTGCGCCCGAGGGTCAAATCTCACTCCGTGGCAAACCCCTTGAGAATCTTGCAGCACAATCCGACACTGTACGCCAGATTTGTGAGGTCACAGCGCTTTGCAACGATGCCGCCCTTGCCTACGACTCCAAAAACGGCACTTACAACCTGGTTGGTGAGCCTACAGAGGGTGCTCTTCGTGTCCTAGTTGAGAAGGTTGGCACTCCCGACATTGCTCACAATGCAACCCGCGCTAGTACCTCGCCCGAAGGACGCCTCGATTTCTCCACCAAGCACTATGAAAGCCAGTACTCTCGTCTTGCCACCTATGAATTCTCTCGCGACCGCAAGAGCATGTCTGTCCTAGTCAAGAACGGTAACTCGCAGAAACTACTCGTCAAGGGCGCCCCCGAGTCAATTCTTGATCGCTGCACAAATGTCGTCGTTGGCAAGAACGGAAAGAAGATGCCCATGAACAAGCAACTGTCCACCCTTATCAACAAGGAGATTGTCGAGTACGGCAACCGCGGTCTCCGTGTCATTGCCGTAGCATCTGTTGAAGACATTGAATCGAACCCACTTCTGACAAAGGCTAAGACTACCAAGGAGTACACCCAGCTGGAGCAGAAAATGACTCTTATCGGTCTCGTCGGCATGTTGGACCCTCCCCGCCCTGAAGTTCGCGCCTCGATCGCCAAGTGCCGCTCTGCTGGTATCCGTGTTGTAGTCATCACTGGAGACAACCAGAACACTGCCGAGTCCATCTGCCGTCAAATTGGTGTCTTCGGCCCCAACGAAGATCTCACTGGCAAGTCTTTCACAGGTCGCCAGTTCGATGATCTTTCCGAGTCCGAAAAGATGGAAGCCGCCAAGCATGCCAGCCTCTTCTCCCGTACTGAGCCAACACACAAGTCCAAACTCGTCGACCTTCTCCAACAAGCCGGTGAGGTCGTCGCTATGACTGGCGACGGTGTCAACGATGCGCCTGCTCTCAAGAAGGCCGATATTGGCGTTGCCATGGGTTCCGGAACCGACGTAGCCAAGCTCGCCGCTGATATGGTCCTTGTAGACGACAACTTTGCCACTATCGAAGGCGCCGTCGAAGAAGGCCGTTCCATCTACAACAACACTCAACAGTTTATTCGCTACCTCATCTCCTCCAACATCGGAGAAGTCGTATCTATCTTCCTGACTGCTGCTATGGGTATGCCTGAGGCTCTGATTCCTGTCCAGCTCCTCTGGGTCAATCTCGTTACCGATGGTCTCCCCGCCACCGCTCTCTCTTTCAACCCTCCAGACCACGATGTAATGAGGCGCCAACCCCGCAAGCGCGACGAGCCTCTCATCAGCGGCTGGTTGTTCTTCCGCTACATGGTTATTGGTACCTACGTCGGCGCCGCAACCGTCGGTGGCTATGCGTGGTGGTTCATGTTCAACAGCGATGGCCCTCAGATCTCTTTCTACCAACTTCGCCACTTCCACCGCTGCTCGACACAGTTCCCTGAGATCGGTTGCGAAATGTTCAGCAACTCATCTGCCCAAGCTGCGTCTACTGTTAGTTTGAGCATCTTGGTCGTGATCGAGATGCTTAATGCTATGAACGCTTTGAGCAGCTCAGAGAGTTTGCTCACGTTACCGCTTTGGGAGAACATGATGCTCGTCTATGCTATCTGTTTGAGTATGGCGTTGCACTTTGCTCTTCTCTATGTTCCGTTCTTGCAAGGTCTGTTCAGCGTTATTCCGCTAGATGGTAACGAGTGGAAGGCGGTCATGGCGATCAGTGCGCCTATCATGTAAGTCAACCCCATGCCGTGTGGCACAAGTACAGAAGGATGAATCATTAACGTATTCCCAGCATCATCGACGAAGGTCTCAAATTCCTCGAACGCAGATTTTTCATCCAAAAGGGCAACGAGAAGTTGGAGCTTGCTGAACAGCAGAACGGCCGAGCGAAGAAGGACTAGTTGTCTTCTTCCCCTTCTTCTCCCTCTCGCTCGCTGAGACGCGTCGGCGGGCGCTCGCATCTCCGATCCGATCCGGTCAAGAAACACGTATCATAGTTACTCTGCATGTAGAAGCAAGAGATGGGGCTGTAGGTGGTCCATGAGACAGCGAGGGAGGGATGTTTTGATACCTTTGCATGAGATTAGGAGTTTTTGTTTGTTCGAAGACAAGTGGTAGATGTAGATGTGAATAGTATAAATAGAGCAACAATCACGCCACAGCCAAAGGAGTACATGTATGTTTTGTATGTGTTAGAAGTATTGTATATGAAAGAGTTGGGGTAGAAAGGCAATCGTCGATCGGTCTCGAGACGATCACTAACGATCATCTGGTGTCCGTATCGCAATGTTGGCGAGTTCTTCAGTGCCCAGTATCCTTATCGTAGACTGAAGTAGGGTACCGGTTTGTAATTGCATCGAAGCGGCGCTCTGTATGCAGTTGAAGGCGACGATGGCGATAAGCCCAGAGAAGGTCCTGCAAAGCTCTTGCGAAACTCGAAGAGTGTTCGACAAGCAAGCCAAAGTCAAGCTCAAGCTTCCACCAAACGCAAATATCGCATCAGCTCTTCCCCTCACACCGCTAACCCATGCTCTAGAAAACCGCTGTCATATCCTACACCCACCATCCACTAACCCAGTTGTTCCATCCAACCTCACCCCTCCATCTCAACGACCATCATACTTCGCAACCAACTTCCTCCCCTGCCTCTCCAACTCATCAACCTCAGGCTCCCAAACAACCGCCTTCTCGTTCACACCCAGAAACTCCCAGATCCCCTCTCCAGCCTTCATCTTCCTCTCCTTTCCCTTACCCGCCTTCGTCTCCGCAGCGCTCTTACCCGTAAGAACCAGACACAAATCAACTCTCAGCTTCAGGTACCCGTTACCCAAGAACATGACATCCATCTTATACCCCTCAGCAACCGTCTTGAGCATGATGGTGCGAAACGAGGCGTGGGGTGGGGCTTCAAACGCTTGGATGGGGTACGGCATGGAGCGGGGCGGGATGCAGAAACGAGCTGTATAGGCTCCTGACATGGGGTTTAGACCGGCAATGGAGGAGATACTTAGGGTGCGTTGACCGAAACCGTACTTGTCGACGTGGGTAGATGTGTATTTGGGGCAGTAGAGCTTGAAGATTCCTTCAATCGAGCCCAGCGGCATGGGTATGCGGGTTTGGATGCTGTAGCGGAGGAAGGTGGAGGCGGCTTGGGCACGCACTGTGTCGGATGCCGTGGTCTCGGCTTCGGACTCGTTTGTGACGATGACTTTGAGTGCGGACGTGTCGTCGGAGCGTTGGAGATGGAGCAGTTGCTCCGACTTGGGGGTGCAGCCTGATGCTTGTTTCAAGCAAAGGAGTGGCCCTGCTGCTTCACTGTCGGAGAGCCATTCGCTGTACTCCTCAAGGTACTCAGCCTCATCGGTGAAGTTGATGGTGCGTTGGGAAGCGGCGAAGGTGCTGGAGAAGGTGGCGAGGTTGGCTTCGTCGTGTTTCTCAACGTGCTTCTTCCTGTTGAAGGGAGAGAGCTCGTCACCAGGGCGTGTGTATGGTTTACCGGGGCGCAACAACATGTCACGGATGCTCCTTGATGTGGTGGAAGAGCTGCTAGACGAGGTACTAGGTGCTTCGCTGACGGAGCGGCGGCTTCGGAGGCGTGGTTTGGGGGCGTCGTTCAGAGGCTGCTTGAAGCGCACAAGGTTCGCGGAGGTGAGGCTGTCGACTTGGCTGCTGGTGAGGGGGTTGACGGAACCTTGGCTACCAATGATATGCTTGTTGGCCTTTGCGAGCTTTGTGCTAACCATGAGGGGGATATCAGGAGACGACTCCTGGGTACTAGGTGCTTTCTTGATCTTCTTGGCCGTGGTGATTGCGGGTGACAAACTGAACGGAATCGCTTGCACACGAGGAGTAGTCGCAGGAGTACGGCTCATTTGTGAAAGGGGTGTCTCGTTGACAAGGACTTCAGACTCAAGGGAAGCTGCCTTAGTCTTCTCGGCCGGCGACTTGTTCATGTTGTCTTTCAATGTACGAGGCGATTTCTGAGGAAGTGGGACGGGTGTGGTCTTTGGCTCTGAAGGCAGGGCCGATGGGACAAAGGGGACGGGTACAGAGGTCTTGATCATCTTGGATGCCGTCTCCAAGTTGGAAGCAACAGGAGCTTTGTCCAACTTCTGCCTCTTAGCCTTGGGCTTGGGTTCGGGCTCGCCAGACTTGACAATAGTCTTCTTGCCCGAACCTACGGGTCTTCCTAGCTTCTTCTTAGGCGGCTCGGTAGGCGTGGCAGTGTTGTTGTTTTGCCGGTCGAGTATGGAACCGCGACCATTCAGAGCGTCGTTCAAATTTTTCATGAAGTTAGGGCCGAGCCAACTATCAGCATTGACGAGACCTTTGTGAGTATCAACTGGGTTATCAACGGGTACCTCATTCTCTCTCTTGCGCTTCTTCGCAGCAGAAACAGGTGTGCCATCCGGGCCAATCTCCTTCTTCTTGTAGGGACCACGTGGACCGCACCTGCGATTCTTGACGGGGGTTGCAGCAGGGGTCTCAGTAGTTGTGTCGGCCGGTGGGGTTTTCTGCTTGTCTTCTACCTTCTCTGCCTCTTCGGCATTTTCTGGTTCTGCGGTAGCTTTAGCTGCCTTGGCCTCCCTCTTCAATCTCTTAGCTTCCTTCCTCTCGCGCTTCTCTTGCTTCCTCTTAGCCCTCTCTTCGTTGATGACATCGTCTGCCGTGCCATCATTGGTTGTAATGGACGCCGACTTATCCACTTCTTTGAAGTCCGTGCTGTTGAAAGATTGGCGCTTCATCGAGGCGCCTTGACCAGTCAAATGATGTTGCGGAATACGGTAGAGTCCCCTGGGCGGCATTATTGCTATCACGAGTGGTGTGCAATGGGCGGATCTGGATTCGAAAAGCTGTTTGTTGGCGTGGTTTGTTGTTGCTGTTGCAAGTTGACTGAGCGCAGAAAGCAAACAATCGTGATCGTTAGAGCGCGCGACAAGGTACAATTGATCTGGACCCGGTTAGAGCGAGTGCGCCTAAGCATGTTTTGGGGTTTATTACCTAGAGCCTCACGTTGCGGTGACAGGATTGGGGTAGTGGGAGAAGATGCGAGAGACGAGGTGGTCAAGAGCGTGTAGAGGAAACTACAAAGTTAGTTGACCAAAAGATGGTGCATGCCAACTCGAGGTGAAGGTGAAGACACGGACGTGAAATCGCCTTCACCGTGAGTACGGCATCTTGCGGAGCAACTGATGCAATCAATGAGAACTTGGAGAATACGACGACATGTTTTTATCACGTGGCTAGATGAGCATTGTAAGATATGGCATTTGGACTTTACTATCATTCGCGCTATGTTCTTTGTTACAGTTGAAGTGCGGGCACTGATATGTCTACACTGTCACCACATTCTGCACCTAAATGCATGCCAAGGTGGTAAGCATTACGGCATGCTGTCGAAATTCAATGATACACGGGGATGTCTACTAACATGTCAGTAACAGAATTGCCATGTCTTTTCCGGCAATACCCATCCCCACAATAGCCCCGTGTTAAATGAGACTTCGTCCTCTCTCCTATCAGTGGCAAATCTGGATTCCGATATCTTTTAGACATGTAGGTCCTATTCGGATGTTCGTTCTCAGGACGCGCATGTCGACCACAACGTTCGTGGCAACGTTGAGTTCTGGCTCGATATGTAGGGCACTGCTTACGAAAGGACCGCTTCCCACGCTCAATGCAAGGCTTACAAGGAGTCCCATAATCACACTCGCTGTGAGTGACTCTTTGCCATGTAAGTTCTACTAGAATCGTCCCGTGTTCAGTCATCTAGGTATGTGCTTGATGTTGTGGAATATCCTTCAGCTCCTCACCTATACCATCCGTCTCTTTGATGACCTTCTTGAGGGAGACCTCTAGGTACTTCACACGTGCTCGCTATCTTGCGCCTTCTGAGCAAGCCTTGTGAAGCTGTTCCTCAATATTACGGCGCTCAATCCGCCACAGCAATCTGCAGCTTGTTGCGAACTGCGATCTGGAAGTCGACCTGGGTCCGCATTTGGGTAATGAAGGCCATCATATTACCGTGCAAGGTGATGGGATCATTCTTGCTCTGCTCAATATATTCTTCCAGACGCGCCGGAGTTATTGTAGACATTGTCTGACGATGGATGATGTTCATGGCCGCGTCTGAGTTGGCTTGCGTTCAGATAATACCCTCGGTAGACGGAAATGTAGTATGAGCTCAACAATGGAATGATGACGCCGAAGATAATCAGTAAACTTTAACATGTCAAACAACCCATCGTGAAACCTTTGTAACCACCAAACTAACCAACTACCTTGAGCTCCATACACCGAAAACGCAGCGAACGCCTCCAGCTTGGTCTCAGAATTACCACAAAATCATGTCTATCTCATCATCTACGGGCATAGCTCTACTGACTGACTACACAATTATCCTTTATAATCGCTTGACTGATTCTATGAGCACACTCACCAAACAGTCTCATAGCCCCGGCGTATGCGCCACATTCCTGATATCCTTAGTTTCGATCCGCCCCACAGCAGGATACATATCATGGCGATCGATATAACTATTCGCCGTCTTGATGTTCTCTAAACCATCTTTGCTTCCCTCACTCTTCGCGGTATCTACCTGCACCAGCGCATTCTTATCCATATCGACATCGAAACCAGCCAGTCCGTTCCTTTCAGGGAAACTTATTACTTCCCCGCCGTTTTCTTGAATGGGCGGTATGCCCGCCATGTCCCCGTGGTCAAGACTGAGTTTACGGACGCGAGAGTCGAGGTTTGATGGTGGAGTGTAGTCGCTGGGAATTGCGCTGAGGGACTTGGAGCGCACGGCTTGGAGAATGTTTGAGTCTTCTGAGACCTGATCTGTTGCTTCGGCTGCGGAGAGGGAGCGTTGAGGGTCTACAGTTGGCGTATGTGGAACACTGTTTGAGCGCTGCTTGCCATTTGCGGTTTTGCTGCTCTTGGACCAGGATTTGAACTTGAAGGCTGAGAGCCAGCCTGGGCGCTTTTCCTTGCCCGCATTCGGATTTAGGGCTCGTTCGGCAGCAAGTTGAATGTGAGATTTTGCTTCCGGTTTTGCGGGTTTGAGTCCGGCGACGGGGGCTGGCGCAGGGGCTGGCGCGGAGCGGATGTCGTAGTCTGACTTCCGACGCGCGCCTGCTGCGTCCATGTTAGATTCTGAAAGGCCTAACACAGCACGATTTCGAGCGAGGTTGGATTCCTTGACTTCTTCGCTGATGTACTGCATGGCCTTGTCAATGACTTCAATGTACTCGGGATAATCGACTACACAGGCTTCGCGGATCAGACGCAACTTTTCCCAATCCTGTCGTACTGCTGGCCCTGTTAGGTCTGGGTGCCAGCCCATGCTCTTAAGATCGGATCGGATTCCACGGTCAACCTGCTCTTTAACACCCATGAGATCGATGAGCGCATCAACTTCGGTGCGCACAACTTTGACGTATTCGCTGAAGCGCATGGTGTCCTTGACAGTCCAGTGGGAAGTTGTTATACTCATGTTGCGCTTCAGACTTGCCCGCGCGCCTGTCTGGTTGAGGAGATCCTTCAGTAGGGTGAACTTCTCGCGGAAGCCTTCCAGGCGGTTTGTGTCTAGTGCTGGATATTCGAGGCGCGAGAACGTTTTTGGACTCTTCAAGCCGTATACATGCATCAGTTCGTCTCGCGACATGGTACTTGGGCGTCCTGCGATCTCGTGGAGCGCTCTGCGAACCTTCGCGTTGATGACCTCGTCATCAAGCCTCGGATCTCTGACACCAAAGTGCACAGGCACATGCGGATCTGGATTTGTGATGCCAGGATGGCTAGGAATCATGTGTCGTGCAATTGTCGCGGGTGGCGCAGTGATACCCACCGCATCGCCAAAGATCAGCAATCTGCCCTGCTGAAGGCCGAGCTTTGCGAGCACAACCTTCTGCGCATGGTCTTGATCTTTGGATGGATGGATGAGATTGAAAGCTTCAACACAGGTGCTGAATTGGGTCGCGAGAGAGAAGACGTCAGTGAGAATCTGGGCCTTGGTCTTCCCTCCAGCCGGATCTGTCGATTCGACGAAGTCGGTCGTACTTTTCGTGGTCATGGTGGCGGGGTAGGTTTCGATCTCCAGCTCGAGAGGTGTGGATAGCGGAGCGGATGAAGATGTCGTGCGTTAGAAGCTTGTGCGCCAGCTGAAGGAAAACCAGGATGCATCACGGATCAGGTCAAGTCGATATTCACTGCATGTGCGCATGACGTCTGAGGGGAGAGACCAATATCCAGCTGTGGCGCAGCCGCGTGCACAAAGGAAGCGGGGCAGGGATCGGCAGGCCGTTTATCCTCACTTGGCTTTGCTAGCACCCTCGTCATTCGTGAAAAAGGGCCAGTATCCGCAACCAAGCAATTCAGCAGTGTATGCCACGCCTTTTCCTGCAGATTCAAGGTGTTTTCGACGCCACACGTGTCCGACGCCATGTAGAACAAATGCCTCATTGCTCGGCCTCTCGCTTTGTTGGGAATGAACGTGCGACCGCAAATTTGGCTGCCAAAATTTTCACCGTCTTTCGCTGCATAGCTTGCGATCTAGATTGTGTCATCCCGGGTACATGTCTGGATTTTCTCACAACAGAAAAGATGCGACAAGTACTGCTCGATGACATAACAATTGTTCGGACGTCAGTATACGTCGCATCGCATCTAGTATCTAGGCCTTTGGGCTGTCGGTGAGAGGACCTGGACAAGATCATCACGTTACTGAAACCATTGGCTGCTCTCACATATTGCGCGCAACGCCGCGTAACATAGCAACCGCTGCTCTAGTCGTATCTCGAGCTCACGCTTCTGTGCGGCAGTCCAACACAGACGGCAGACAATGGTAGGACCCGAAGCGTGGTGCATCGTCCGTCGGGCATGAAATGTGAACTGAGCGGCCCGGAGGGTAGCATGCATAATCGCATCGCCCGGCGGCCATATGTACCGGCAGACGTGTGCGTAGCGTCGCATCAGTCAGCGCATCCTTCACAACGGCGCAGCATCAGCATAGGCGATGAGCACTACACAGCCCCTGCATTTTGTTTGATCAAGACGGTGATGCGTGTGAACGGACTGTCGATGAACAGACAGGGCACAAGCGGCTGGCGATTTGACCTCTCAAAAATCGCGCGTCTTGTTCGCTAGTGGCCGTGCGGTATAAGACCGAACAAGCACTAAGATGTCGCTTCCATGAGCGCGCTGAAGATCGTGTTGCGTATGTCGACGAGAGAGTGTAGCTTGTTTGCTGGACAGCAACCTACGTCTTTTAGTGCGGAGCGAGTGCTAGCGCACTGCTGCATTGGATGAGAGGAAGCGATATGGTCCTCCATCTCAAACGTGGTAGTAGGGGCTCTTGCCCCCCGGCTTATCCTCGTTGACGCTCGCCGCAGTATTGGTGTCGCCATCCTGCTCGCATGATCGTGTGTCTGTCTCTTGCTTTTGTAACTCGTTGCACTCAATGCTGAACTCATTCGTGACGAAGATACCACTGCCACGGCGGCCAAGCTCACTCGGCCTACTCGGTGGCAGTGCATCATCTTCGCTTTCCCGCTCAGATGCACTTTTGCCAGATATGTTGCTCTTGTTACCGTTCCCAGCCGGTCCGTAGTTGCTCTTCCAGTCCATGGGGTACGACTGGCGCTTTGAGTTGTCCATGGGGTATGATCGACGCTTTGAGCTGGCCTTGGTGCCTATGTCTGAGCCAAAGAGTGGCCCGAAGAGACGGACGAATGGAGCGCGGAGCATAGGAAGACAGGCACATATGATACCAGCGTTTGCTTCTATTACTGACCATATCGTAGCAGGAACAGGACCCCAGGTCGGATCTGGATCGTTTGCAGATCTAGCGATTGTAGTTGCACGATATATAGACGCAAAAGTGACACTGGGGGGTTAGCAAAGTGCTTCGAATGGAGATTTCAAATACTTACAAGCCACCAGTACCGAACACGAGTGCTACGCCCAACTTCTCGGCTCGTCCCATGGAGAGTCCTACAATTCGTCGGAAAGGCATTGCAAGGAGCATGAAGTCGGTCGTGATTTGAACAGTGGCATAGGAAATCCACCAGGGTTCGTTCTTGAAACACCTTGCTCCAGGTATCGTTTTGTCCCAGAATGCGGCGATTGGCGTACATTGGAAGACCGTCGCGATAGTAAACGCAAAACCAGTAATGATAACCCAGGCGTCTACAATGGCGTCAGTCGATGATCTGTAGTGCAGAACAAGACACTTACTCATAATGTGACAAGCAACACGGAAAGACTTTGTGGTGATGGCGAAGATCCGGTAGTAGAGACAAACTACGGAAATCTTATTAAACATTAGGACTACTTTGTAGACAACTGCGACAGTCAGTAAGATTCGTCAAACTTTGCACTACCTCCATTGAGCGCTTTACGTAGCTTTTCAGGGGCCGGAAAACGCAAGAGATCTCTATGTTTCCCGGGAGGAGGGTGCGTTCGTTGAAGGTCTACTCACTATTCGCCCCGTAGAACCATTTGCGAGCAATGATGCGAGAATCAGTAGGTAAGTCTTTCCAGTGTCTTCCATAGCCATATACCACAGCTGTTCGAAGTCAACATCCGATCACCAAGATAGTACGAATTTACTAACCTTGACACTCGGTTATAGAGAGCAGAACCGATGAAAGCAAGGCCGCTACAATCATGTAGTCGTCCATTCCCAGGCCACTACTCTTGATGAATCGCTGCGCAAGACGTGCGCCAACGAACAGACCGGCGATGATGACAGATAGCACACTGGTGAGCCAGAGACCCCATCCGCGCTCGATTGAGGCTTCACTGCCTAGGCCGATGTTTGGAGCCATGTCGCATGAGGGGACTCGATTTTTGGAGGGCAAATCCTATGGAAGATCCATGAACAGCGGGAGCGGATAGTATAATGGGCCTCGTCCAGCATTTGGCTTTCCAGGTACCCGTCCCTGGAGATACGAGAGTGCAGGGTGAGGGCTGTGGAGCAGTTGACAATCCCTTCGTGGGGCATTTCGGGAATGCAGTATCGGCGAATTTCCCGTCATTGTAATCCGATGCGATTCGATCTTGTGTACCAATCTTCGGGGACTACATTTGTCGATCTCTCTATCTCCGTGCGCATGCAAGCTTTTCCTTGCTAGAGTCCAGGAGTTCGCCTTAGACGTAGGGCAGACTTCCCATCGGCTCGGTGCAGTGTACTGAACAGGTATGGGTGGGTGACATCACAGATGGAGATCAGCAGCCGCCCGGAATTGTCCCGAACATAGACATACCACGACTGCCGTTTCTGTCCGCAATGTTTGGGTTCTGGTAAGAATAAGCATAGGCGCTGGCAGGTTGGAAGTCGTCTTGGTACCAGATACTCGAACTCAGTATGTCATGATGATGTTGAGGTCTGCCAGATGGAAAGGTTCCATATGACCGGGAAGGAGCGGTAGCGTATGAGGACTAGCGTTACCTTTCAGATGTCAAAACGTGCCCAGGTGCAGCCGTGCGAGATGAAGCCACCCGTCCTGTCATAAACGTCGTCGAAGCTTTTCGTGCCGGTGTAAGACCGCGTGCGCTCGATATGGAGCATTTTGCAAGATTACCCTTTGTCTCGGAGCTTTGTCTGGTTCCAGCTTCATTTGCCCCCATCGACGACGGTTGGCGTTGACGGCAACGCAGGAACGTGGAGCCAATTGCTTGCCAGTCCGAGCCGCGATTTGCATCTCGCTCTGTTAAAGTCAGCCGGTCGCCCGCCTGCTGTTAAGGGTTATTCCGTCAAGCGCAAGGTTGTTGTTGTTTCGAGTTAGAATTATGCAGCACCTCCTCCTTACTGCTGCAGCTGTAGCTTCGCTCTTCGGTTCGGCTGTTGCAGCGCCAAAGAATGGTTCAAGCGTCACGACATCAAGTGGTACCTTGATTGGTCACCCATCTTCTAACAAAACACATGTGACCGAGTTTCTGGGCATCCGATATGCAGAGGCGCCAGTTGGCGAGCTGAGATTTGCTGCGCCGAAGAAGTACGATGCGCCAGTGGGAACCGTCTTTGAGGCATCCGAGTGGGTTAGTAATCACAACATTACTATGTGAATTCCTTCACTAACAAACCGTAGTCCCCGTATGTAAGACATGTAAGAAATGGAGGACGTATCTAATGACTCTATAGTGACTGTCCTGCTGTCAAGCCGCCAGTGTCGGCTTTCCCCAACTTCACACAACCATCCGGTCTACGAGTATGGAAGAACTTTGCAGCCCAGAACAATAACTCCGTATCTGAGGATTGCTTGAAGCTCAATGTTTGGACGGGAAGTGCTGGAGTGGTGCACGCGAAGAAACCAGTGTTAGTGTTTCTTCACGGAGGACGTACGTTGTCAATTCGCTTTTCAAGAATAAATCTAACGACCAGTTTAGGTTTCCAGATTCCTGGTCCCCACTCTCCCTTTTACAACGGCCAGTATCTAGCCGACGCTGAAGATGTAGTCGTCGTGACATTCAAGTAAGGCCTTCTCTGCTTCTATCTGTCCATTTACTAACCACCTCAGTTATCGATTGGGCATCTTCGGCTTTGCCGGTGCTCCTGGTGTTGAGAAAAACGCCGCCCTACGCGACCACCGTACCGCTGTCGAATGGGTGCGCGACAATATTGCTGGCTTTGGAGGTGACCCTTCACGTATTGTGATCTTCGGGCAAAGTGCAGGCGGCGCCGCTGTCGACTACTGGGCGTACGCCTGGAAGAATGATCCAATCGTTTCTGGCCTCATTCCCATGTCTGGAACTTCACTGAGCTTCATCCCCAACACTGTGGAGTACTCACAATCCATTTGGTACAACGTATCCCAGACCATCGGTTGCGGCGGCGCGGCCAATGACTCTGCTGCAGTCATATCTTGCGTACGTTCTGCGAATATGTCTGCTCTCCTGGCCGCCTCTGCGAAAGTTCCTGGTCTTCCCAGCGTGGGTCTGACCCAGGCGACCTTCCATCCGACCGTCGACAATATCACGGTTTTCGAGGATTATCAAAAGCTCTCCGTGGCGGGTTCCTTCGCAAAGATCCCACTCCTGGCTGGCAACGCTGACCATGAAGACGGATGGTATCGTATCTCCGGGTGGGCGGCCAAGCTGAACTTCACCAACGCCCAATGGGATCTGTTCACCCAACGTGGCTTCACATGCCCGACTTCCCTTTCCGCCGCATACAGGGTCCAGTATGGCGTGCCGACCTGGCGATACAGATACCATGGTGATTGGGATAACCTTCGTCTTTACAACGGCAGCGCAGGTCTTGGTCCTCAAGGAAGCGCGGCCTACCACGGCTCTGATCTTGGCTTGGTTTTCGGCACCGCCCAGGACATCTCTGGCCTACCCAACTCTGTTGCTGAGAACCAATACACAAAGTATGTCCAGGGCGCTTGGGCTGCATTTGCCCGCGACTCGCAGAAGGGATTGACCAAGTATGGATGGCCTATGTACAACTCGGGTAAGAACCAAGCTCTATCGAAAGACGAATATTCCTTTACTAACAATTGTACAGGCAATGCCACACTCGTCGAACTGGCCTACAACAACGACCCTGTGCCTAAGTTTGTCGACCCAAAGATCTACGACGCGTCGTGTCCTGCGAAGAACGATCCGCTGCCTGGACGAGGTGCCTTCTAGAAAGACAGAATCAAGCTTGTATACAAATAAATAGTCCGTTAGAATAATACTCGTCAACACCATCATATCGCTCATCGTCGCTTTGTTTCGATCGGTATCGTCTGGTAACTTGTTCGCATTGCTATGTACTGCTGAAGGGGTTCGCATTCGCATAAGACCACAGATCCAAACCCTGGACGACTCGCCATTGAACCCAGCGTTGAGTTTGCGTCCGAAGTGGCTGTTTTCCCGGCACTTGGGTCCCCAGGGTCTGGTCTCGTTCGGGTTGAGTTAACGTTTGTGGTTACGGCCCGATGCGCTGACGCCGACTAACGAACTTTGTCGTGAGCCCACAGCGCGGCGCCAACCGACTGTCCGTAGGAAATGAGACAAAATGTATCCTATCGCAACGGCTATACCCTGGAAATGATATTGCAGTCAACTGTGATTGGATTGCCGAGGTAATTGCGAAGGCGGCGGCGTGTGAGAGACTGGAGAAGAGCACGTGGGTAACACATCCAGCTCGACCGGAGCCATCCTTCCGAACTATACCATCATGTATCATGACCCTAATCACGAACGGCCAATCATGCCTGGGTTTGCCGTTCGCATCAGGGACGACTATCAAGATTCCAGTGGCGCAAGGTCTGCATAGAGGCTTGCATGAGTTCAATAGTTTCGTCGAGTAGGGTTGACATTCATCGGCTGCACGCATAGAAACATGAGTTTTTCAAGAGCCAGACCGCAGATAACAAATCCTTCTGACCCGCCTCCTCCACTTGGACAGCTGCTTGACTCGCGCTCTTGTTGTATTAATCCATGACTTCGCGGCACTGGAGTCTTTGGCACAACAGAGGTTTCTCCAGTTGAGTTCGTATTGCAAGATGGCTGAGTATCTTCGCCTCGTAATGCGAAGAAAACAGAGATCGGAAACATGAAGGATGATCCCCCGTCTTGGCAATGTATACATCCCTCAATAACGCCAGGGGTGCCCAGGTGCAAGTACCGGGACTAGAATCCCATGCCGCGTCCATGCTAACCCACCAGAGCAAAGGTTCTGCGGGGCCCTTGCGATTGCAGCGTGATGTCTGCACGGGACACAGACTTGCTCCCCACTGCTCGGGTCTCTACTTCTGGGACGAGTAATCTGGTGGTCGTCAGGTACAAAAGCCAATAAGTTTCCAGTCGACAGGTAGCCTGATCCTCTGGTACCTGCATCTAACAGTACGCAGAACGGACCGTTTTCACTACCGCCATCATGAGCTCAGTTGGTGCTTGGCAGTTCGCACCTCTCGTTACCGAGTTTCCTACCAATGTTTTGCCAAACTTAGGATTCTGGAGTGCGACCAATGGGTCTTGGGAATATCAGATTCAGGTGGCATGGCCGCTGAACTGGACATCACAGGAGGAGAGCTCGACTGTGGAGACGATGTAAGAGCCCACCATGAACTACAGCAGCAACATGAGAAAAGATATACTAATATCACTACTAGGTATGTTCTTGACGGAAACGCTCTCGGCATGACTGCCACGGAAGCCTTCCGTCGCCGTCGTCCCGTGGAGTTCAACATGCCCGACTGTATTGTTGTCAGCATAGGCTATCCGGAAACCATTGAAGATTCGCCCTACAGCACGCAGCGAAGCTACGACTTCCAGCCTCCTGTCTGCGATGATTGCCCATTGCCAACAGTACCTGGCGTGCAATCCAATGCCAACGAGTTCATCGAATTCATTGATACTGCTCTCCGCCCCTGGGTCCAGGAAACAGCTTTCCCAAAGGCTGACTTCGATCGCGATGCGCTCTACGGCCACTCTTTCGGTGGCCTTTTCGTCCTGTATGCTCTTACCGTACGCCCTGATCTCTTCGATACATTCCTCAGCGCTTCTCCGGCGCTCTTCTTCAACAACGATTACGTCTTTAACAACACGGATTTCCTTGCACCGCTGACTTCGCCCTCCGCCAACAATACTTCCAATACCACCAAACCTGCTTTCCAGATAAGCTATGGCGCGCTCGAACAGAACCTGGTGCAGAGGCGGACGGAAACGGACGAGGAGTTTGCGTTCAGGCAGAGCATTCTTGTGCCGCAGCGGATGACGGATCTGAGTCAAAAGCTGTACAGCACGTTGGAGGATAGTCCAGCATTGAGGGATATCAGCATACATGAGTACCCTTTCAGTGACCACGCTGCAGTAGGCGCGGCAGCGCTCGCGGATGGTATTGACTACTTCCTGGACTGGTGAGTGGCAAGTGCTGTTAAAGGGTGGAGGTGGAAGAGAGCAACGCCTTGTATGAAGATTGAATGAAAACCTGATGATCAATCCTGGAGCTCAACCAACGCAGATTCTCCTTCCTGTTCTCCAAGCTTGGTAATCCTTGATTTCGGCCGCGGTGATATCTTTTCCTGTTATTTTCCAACCCGGCTCTCCATGACTCTGCATCTCTGTAGCATCGGCTATTGCTCCACTATGCCGACGCCAGTCTTTGTACAGCCGGGCAAAGGCAGGCATGATTCACCAGGACGCATTCTACTTGGTATCAGCGCAAGGTTCTGTGCTCCTCGGACGCTCTTGCTGCTCATTCTCAGGCTCTTACTGATTATGTTGCAATGTTAGCCTGATCGTCGCTTACATGCACTAACATGTGTCGCTTCCATTCTCTCAGTCTCTTTCATTCGCACATGGTCGAAATACCCCTCACGACCCGTTGTTCCCTTTATCATCTTCTACGCAGAAGATTTCCTCTTTACCATTCATCTTCCGCGTTACCCGGACACCACGACGCGATTGGAGATGGGTTGTCGCTTCCTCTGCGCTGTAAAGTTACAAATGGATACCTTGCCGGACTACTTGCCCGTTTGGCAGTAATAGCGCTGTCTCTGACCGCCTTGTTCGAACACCTGGACACTGCTCGCAGGCGATGTCACGTTGCCCCGACTGGATCCCAGCGACTGGTGGAAACGATTAAATTACAACCCCGCCCTAACCACTTCAAAACCACACGTCGGCATGTCTCTTGCCCACATCACCCACAATCGTCCACACGGGGTACGATAAGTGATAACATTGAGTGGACACGTCCCACCGCTCATTGCGCCAGAGTTGGAGCAGGTGGTGCGGCCAAATGCCGGCGAGTGGCGGCATTGGCTGAAATTTTCGGGGCGGTGGGTACAGCCGCCAGCAAGAGCCTCAACGGATGCACATCCGGTGTTTGATCATCGCAGAAAAGATTTCGCCTAGGGAACCCCGGCGATACGTCATCTTGAGGGAAAAGAAGGGTCCGGTGAGGAGGGGATCATGTCACGTAGAAATACCAAAATGACCCTGTGCCCGCGAGTCCTGCTCTCCGAACAACTTCACGAATAAACCGCTGGACGGCATATCTCCTCACATCACGACTCCAAGATGCAGCGAGCAAACACCACCGAGAGCCTGCGCACACCTGGCGCCAGCATCTCGACTCTCAACCTGAACAAGCCCCCGCGGCCGGGCATGGAACGCGCGCCCACATCTACCAACCTCACACGGCCACTCCCCATCCAGCGCCTTGAAGGCAAGGTAGTCATGATTACAGGTGGAGGCGGCAAAGTTGGTGTAGAGTCTGCCGGACGCCTGCTTATCGAGGGCTGCAATGTCGCCCTGATCGACATCGACCAGGGCGCTCTCGAGGCTGCCGTACCCGTTCTCAAGGCTGCGATTCCCACTGGCATGCCCGTAGAATCCCGCCTCCTCACTATCGTGGCCGATGCGACAAAGGAGCCGGATGTCGAGGCATGCGCCAAGAAGATCGTGCAGCGATTTGAGAGGCTCGATGCTGCGCTGTTGAACTGCTGCCATCGCGGCGAGTCCAAGAGCATCTTCGACGTCACCGAAGACGACTTTGACAGAATCATGACCATCAACGCCAAGTCTGGTATGTCATTTCACTTATCCTCAAACATCACCCACTGATTATCCCCCCAGCATTCCTAGGTGTCAAGTACGCTGCTACAGCCATGCAAACCACCTCTGGTGGCGGCTCCATCATAATCCGATCCTCCATCGCCGGTCTCCGCGGGTTCCCCAACCTCATCTCGTACAGTGCCAGCAAGTTTGCTCTTCGCGGTATCGCCCTTACTGCCGCTGAAGAACTCGGCCCGCTCAATATCCGTGTTAACACTATTCACACAAGCATCATCCAAACACAAGGATACAAGGACGGCTGGAGCAAGGAGAAGCTGGCAGAGTTGAAGGAGGAGACTGCGCTCGACCGGTTCAGCAGCCCAGACGACGTGGCCAGCGTCGTGGCATTCCTTGTCAGCGAAGACAGCAAGTTCATGACTGGTGGACACTTGAAGATTGATGGCGGGTGTGTCGCCGTTTAGACGTTTCGTTTAACCTTGCTTGTTATACTGCGATGATCAAGATTTGCATTGATGGAGTTTGGGATGCCCGCTTTTCTTCGGAAGCAGAGGCTGCATGCTTTGCACAGGGTGTGATCATGGACTGGAGGCATAGAGGCACATTATTAAACCGGTAGAAATGTACCACCAAACGGACATCTGTCCTCGCTCACCCCATCCTGTTCGACATCTTTGTGCAGCTGTCTCTGCTTGGACATGCTTTGCGATGACAGCGCATGACGTCACTGCACTGTCATGCTACCCTCATCTAGAGACCCATTGATGCAACATGCATGAACTGGCAGTCCAATCCTGAGTAACCACTAAGTAGCTCGCAGTTAAAGCTTCCTAACACTGCGGAAGGCGCAATTAGACCCTGCACTACACTGTTTCCGAAAATATCCGGTAAAGCTGTCATGATGTGACGTGCATTATACTCCAGCAAGCTTGTAACAGCACTTGAATAGATTTTCTTAAAACCCATATTACCTTTCCTTACTTCACGGGCTCTCATCACACCCCGTCACTTCATCCTCAAGAGCGACCCGAGTCCTACTATCCCACCATGTCCGAACCCACAGCAACCGAACACCACCCCAAATTTCAAAATCGAAAACCGGAACAGGATGCCGTCGCCTATGAGATGCAAACATATACACGCGGACTAGACTTTGAACGCCCACCGCTCACATTCCAGGCCGATAAATGGGAAGAGTTGGCTTGTAGTCGCATGTCTGCCGACTCCAAAGGCTACGTCTATGGGTCAGCCGGCGTAAGAGAAACAACGGACAAGAACCGCAATGCCTTCAGAAGATGGTCCATCGTGCCAAATCGCCTAGTAAAATATGACGGTTTCCCCGACCTGACGACCGAGATCTTCGGAGAGAAAATGGTAGCACCTATAGCCATGGCACCTGTCGGCGTACTCAAAATCTTCAATCCCCAAGGCGAAGTTGCCGCCGCAAAGGCCGCAGCCAAAGAAGCCATTCCATACATTCTCAGTACGGCCAGTAGTACAAGTATAGAAGACACAGCTGCAGCCAACGGCTCCGACGGCCAACGCTGGTACCAACTCTACTGGCCCTCACGCGAACACGACGACATCACAATTTCCCTACTGCAGCGCGCAAAGAAATCCGGTTTTACAGCTCTCTTCGTAACCCTAGATACGTATATCCTTGGCTGGCGGCCCGAAGACATGGATAACGGGTATAACCCTTTCATGCGCGCTGATCGTACGGGTGTGGAACTCGGTATGACGGACCCTGTATTCCAGAAACAGTTTAAAGAGAGGCATGGCGTGGATGTGGAGAGTAAGATGGAGGCTGCGGCACCGGAATGGATGAGGACGATTTTCCCGGGGAGAGCCATAGTTGGGAGGATGTAGAGTTTCTGAAGAGGCACTGGGATGGGCCGATTGTACTGAAAGGTATCCAGAGCTTGGCTGATGCGAGGAAGGCGGTGGAGGTCGGTGTGCAGGGCATTGTTGTGAGTAATCATGGTGGGAGGCAGCTTGATGGCGGAAACTCTTCGTTGGGCGTGTTGCCACATATTGTTGATGCTGTTGGTGAGAAGTTGACGATCTTCTTTGACAGTGGGGTTCAATCTGGTGCTGACATCGCGAAAGCAATGGCGCTGGGTGCGGACTGCGTGCTAGTTGGTAGGCCATACGTGTATGGCCTAGCGCTCGCAGGAGAGAGGGGTGTGGAGCATGTGCTCAAGAGTTTGGTCGGTGAGCTGGAGCTGACATTACATTTGAGTGGTATTCAGAGTGTGCAAAAGAAGGACCTGAATCGGAGCTTGTTGATTAGGGAGGATGCACTTTTTGAGGGAGTGAAGGGAGTGGGACTGCACTAGATGTCTCGCTGTCGGAAGGATGTCTATACTATTAATGTTAATGTCCAGGGCTCTGAGTCAAGCTCTTATTGTATACACACCGGGTATTTGTTCAATGGCTTTTACAGATAATCTACCGGGAAGGCATCCAGAGGATCATGATCGATCACTATAGTACATCCTACTATATCGGAAGAGCCAAGTTCCTTGCGGCTCCTGAGCGGGTGAAGGAGACACTTCCTGATAACCAAAAAGTATCGAATCATAAACATGAAGTGAGTCACTGGATACAGATATCGTGGTGTCCCAGAGTTTTGTCGTTGCGAAGACCGCAGGTGCCCTCGCAGTGACCATTTGCAGCTAGCAGCTTGGCCATTGCATTCATACTTTTCAACACATGAACCATTTGCCGCCATGGCTCAACTAGGCAGTTCCCTAACTTGTTAAACTCGAGACCGTTCTCGATTTGCTCTTTCTCACCTTCACCTAGGCTAGGAGTCGGGTATCTATGCTTCACCTTGGTTTTACTCATCTCCTAGCACGTCACCATCACGTTCCGTTCCCCATGGCAACCTGAATTCTTGATATGTGACTCATTATCAAGTGCCAGTCACCTGGAGATGGAAGAATTGGCTCCCATGTATCTTGCGTATTTCGGCCTTCGTCTCCATCTCACCAACTCTAACGTTGCTCTACGAATTACTGGCAGCATTGCGCAACGAATTCAAGTCCTGACTGGATCAAGATGACGGAACTCGAACGGCAAACCGCGTTACTGAAGTACCACAGCCTGATGGTACCGACCACAGATCCAACAAAGAGCAAGCGGCCCACTGAGGAACCATCTCCCGAACCGACCCCCAAGAAGACGAAACATAACACTAAGACTACTTTTGTACGGTATCCAAGGGCTATAGCCAAAACGATGCGGACGCCCAACCTGAAATTGCTCACGAACCTCCCTTAGACACCTCGACTTTATGCACACCCTATCTTTCAGCGCCAGTTCCTCCGCATGAAGGCCGAGCTCCAAAAGACGAAACAAGATCTGGCAGTCGAGAAATCCAAGTCACTTCGAGATAGCAACCAGATCAACCTGCTATGTATTCAATGCTACAGACTGACCGACCGTTACCGCGCCGTTGTCGCCTCCCACACCGCCCTTCAAGACGCATCTCATGATCTGGCCTCAGAGCTTCGAGCCCACAAATGCGCCCTCGATCTTACCAGGAAGGAACTAGACGAGTCCCTGAAGGATACCGACACCTACCGCGAGACGATGTTGAAACAAGACGACGATTACAAGCTCGTAAAAATGCAATTAAAGGAAGGGAAAGAAGATGAGATCGTGCAGTGCAGGATGTTGACGAGTAAGTTGCGGTCGCTCGGCAAGAGCTATGAGATGGGTCGCGCAGTCTATGACATGCTTTTACTACAAGTTGAGGGACAGTATAGTGGGGATAAGGTCGTGTTGGAGAGGATGAGAGAGGCTTTGAAGGAGGCGTTCGGTGGGTTCTTTGAAAACGAGTGAGCCAACGGAAGAGCTGCGTCTGGGGAGGGGTGCGTTAAGTATCGGGTGGGGGTTCGATCTGCTGATTGAGGTGGGATAGGAGTAGGTGCATTGTTTTTGTTTCGGTCGTAATGGGTTTCTTACTCTCATCATATCTTCGAGGCCGTTGTAGATGTCGCATGTATGACATGTGCAGAACATTGAACACACACTTTGCTTTTATCGTATCCCTTCAGACATCACTGACAGTAACCGCTTCTTTGTAGACACTTTATCAGTCAATCAATGTTCTCGTAGGAACATGCCCTCATTACCTGTGGTATGTATATATCCATAACATTTCATCGATATGGAGTGATCCGAATGATACGATACTTAACACTAGACGAAAAAAGGGTATACCAAATCTCGAAACGCCAGTTCAGAGGGTGCCTTAGCCGCCCATACCGTATCTTGTACTCTTGTTATATCTTACACCCTCATCATCATCCGCACCGTAGGAATAAAATCTTGACTATCCTTCTCTTGCTGTTCGAAACTCTGTTTGAAGGCTGCCAACCCCGCGAGGATTCCGCAAACCATGAACATTAGCGAAACAAGCGACCAGATAACGCCCCAGCATTGCGACGAACCGCCATACCGCTTGGCGAAGACACTAGCATCAGACGAGTTGACCTTGCGGAGGATAAGGTCATCACAGATATCCCAGACGCTGTACAGAGAGGACATGACGCCGATGAAGAGCTGAAGTGGGTGTTAATTTAACGGTATAAGGGGGAAGGGAAGACACGTACGACCATGAACCTCAAGGCCTCGCCATGTTCGATGAACCAAAACGCCACAAGTAATCCTACACTAAGTAGAATTGTTACAATCGTCAACCAGTCTTTTCTCGCCCACCACAGTGTTAGCAAGAAACACACGCCTAGCACTATACTCGCTACTTTAGAGGCCACGATGTTGAAGCCGCAGAAAGTAAGTAAAGCGCCGATCAATGAGGACCCTAAGTAGCCAGCGGGCAGAGTGATGAATTGTTTGCCGCCGCGCATGTGCGTCACACCTCCCTCATGAGGATCAAGGGAGATGGACTCTACTCGCCCACCAGTACAACAAGACGTTATTGCATGGGAAAATTCATGGAACGCTATGACTAGCATCTGTGGTTTTGGTTAGCCATCAATATCTCTTATCGTGCCAAACTTGCATGGTAAAGCGACCTGGCTGTTAATCGCGTTCATGACACCAATTCCGTACCATCTTCATCTAAGGGGACTACAGTACAGTGTACATACCTTGAACGGCCACAACACCCACCGTACGTACGGTAAATTCCACAACAGCGCAATAACAACAACATATGCAGCAATAACACCCAACGTAACCCCTTGGGTATGATTTACACTCAGACCGCGGCGCTCAAAGTGATGTGAGGCCCGCGAAGCGACAACCGGCCCCGCTGTGACCAGGGCCCGACGCGCTAACTTGGCGAGGTTGCTTGTGTTCTGAAGTGGTACTGCTGGCGGCATAGCTGTGGTATTCGTATGTCGTTGTGGTTAAATGCTCAAAGATAAGCGGGAAAGAGCCTGGGTAATGAGCGGCAAAAATGTAAATGAATGAGGATACTGTTACTTGTTGTTTGATGTTCGGAAGCGAAGAGTGGCTGGAGGGAGGACGTGGAGCTGACGCGTGCCACGCTAAAATTAGCAGGGGTGTGGCTGTGTCGGCATCTTTCCGGAAAGGAGACCGCCCAGCTCTCGTCAACGACGGAGAGAATGCATATGTAACAGAGGTTGTGGGATCAGAAGGCAGTGGTTTGTTGATATGTTGGAATTGAATGATGTCTAAATTATGTACGCCTCTTGGCGGATTTATAGCGCTTTGCTAAAAGGGAGGAGCCGCTAGAAGGACGGCGGCAGTGCGAAAACACCTTGGATCTGGACTAAAGAAGTATAGTTATCTTATACTTGAACCATGATAATAGGCTTAAACCCTCTCGTGGTGTGTTGACATGCCTCTTTCAGGCGAAGTGTCAACGTCCTTGTCGCCGACCTTCTCAGATGCAGCAGCGCCAGTGGCACCAACAGCACTGTGACGTCGCTCCCAGTATGGGTCGTCACGCTCGTTACGGCTGATGTATCCAGCTGGGACCCACTTTTTACTGGTCCTAGCCGACATGCTTGGGTCTGAGTACATGATATCGACGTTCTCAAGAGACAAGGACTTGGTCTCGAAGACGAAGAAGTAAACGACACCCGCAGCAACGAAGTTGCATGCGAAGAACACGAAGCCGAAGGCGTAACCGATACCGTCATCAGCTAATGGTGTAAGGAAACCGATCAAGAAGTTACCTGGAAAGAAGCGTTAGTAAATAGAAATGTTATGTTGAAGGTGTGTAGCTTACCGAGCCAGTTAAATGCAGTAGCCAAGGAGGCTTGCTTCGCACGAGTGCGAAGTGGGAACGTCTCTCCGATAATAACCCAAATGAAAGGCCCCCAGGTGGAGGCAAAACTTGCGATGAACATGCAAGCAGCGACGATCATGACGATACCAGCGGCCGGGTTGTCTTGTGGCGGTAGCACGACACCGATGATAGCGAAAATAAGCAACCATGTGGCTTGCCAGAGACCGCCGACAACGAGAGGCACACGGCGACCAACTCGCTCAATGAGCCACAATCCAGGAATCGTCATGACTACATTGACAGCGCCAAGAATCAGTTGAACCTGGAGAGGATCGTCAATCCCTGCAGATTGGAAGATAGTCGCTCCATAGTAGAAGAAATAGTTAACACCAGTCCACTGCTGGAAGAATTGGATAGCGCATCCGAGAAGGGTACGGTACGCAAGACGCGGGATGCCGGATGGCTGGCCAGTGAAGCATTCCATCCAAGTACCTTGTCCAGCGCTCTGTTGCTCGTTGATGGAATCCTCCATCTCTTTGAAATCTGAGTTGACCAGCTCGTGATTAGGGTCATGGACCAGACCTCGGAGACGAGCCATGGCCATTCGTGCCTCTTCCCATCGTCCTTTACCCGCCAGCCATCTCGGAGATTCTGGAGTGAAGAGTACACCGAGTCCAAGAGGAATGGAAAAGCCGATTCCCAAGCCAATTACGATCCTCCAGGAGGCATCGCTGGTTTCTCCTGGGTTGTCGCGGACACCGTAGTTGATGATGTTGGAGATGAGAATTCCAACAGTGATCATGAGTTGATAAGATGCGACGACGGCACCACGGATCTCTCGGGGGCAGACTTCGGATTGGTACATCGGTACACCAATGGACAGAATACCGACACCGAGACCAGCGACAATACGGCCGATTGTCATGTGTACCCAGGTGCTCATTGCAGTGACCTGAATGATGTTGCCAATGACGAATATGAGCACACCAACGGACAGATTGCGTCGACGACCGAACCAATCAGCAGTGTAGGCACCAGCGAGGGCTCCGACGAGAGTACCGATAGACATAAGGGATACGAGCAAGGACTGAATCATGGGGTCAAATGCCTTCTCGCCATTGCCCTGGTCCTGTCCAAATCGCTGGATAAAGTCATCGAAGATGAGCATTCCAGAGATTTGACCCTATCTTAAATGAGCTGATGTACGATTGAAAACAGAGGAAACACGCTACATACCGTGTCGTAACCGAACAGAAAACCACCTATCGAAGTGATCACTCCGAGAATGATGGCTTCAATACCGCACTCAGCGCCGCGTATGCGGACAGCACTGTGCAAGTTAGCATAACTGCTTGCATACTTCAACCGGATCGCAACCTACACTTTGCCCAGACCCATGATTGTAAGAATGACTTGACCACGGGAAGATTGATGTTCAAGGCAAGATGGGATTACTCGTCCGGTACACGACCATTCTTAAGTATCGATGCCAATTCTAATCCCGTGTCCCGTAATGCGGTAATGCCCAGCATCGCGCCGAGCGTTCGACTCCGGGGCTCCTACGTCATACACGCCACGCCGTCACGCGAAATTGCGCGCGAGCGGCCTTACAAGCTTGGCTTGCCCTCCTCCACAGCCAAACGGAAGTCATCTGGGGGTCTGAAACTGCAGTAGTGGGCTTGTCAATGCGACGCAGCCGCTGGGGGGCAAGGGGCATGTATGTGGGGAAGCTGGTCGCGATTCGATAGCCAAGCCCAATCCACCCGACATTCCGGGAAGTGCCCCAAGAGATACACGGCCTCGAGTACACATGGATCGGATCGTGTTCTTGCATGCTCATCTGACGGTGGGCGTTGTACAAGGCGTTCTACTAACTCTTTAACGTGCGATATGAACGCCTCTGATGCGCACCCCGCATTCAGGCGCATGGCATTCAGCGACGAGCTTCAGGGACCGTTGTGCCGCACACCCGACCCTCATAAACTCAATGATAGTCGCGTGACTTGTGGATATCGACTCGACGACGCGTATTCCTCGGCCGGGCCCATGTCGGTGAAGATACTTCACTACAAGATGCGACAGGCTCTCTAGGCAGTGGGGATGATGGAGATGTGTACGACCCCATCCAGGTCTGTGCAACCCCCAACACCTGCGCTCTCTCCGACCAACCCTCCGACTCTTTAAACAAATGCCGCGTGAACCGGCATAAGCTTTGTCGCATCGCTTGTTCTGATTCGCAATCTCCGATCGCTTGCAGTCTTCCTCCGGTCAAGTATAGCGAGGGACCCGTTTTGGATGCAACGTAAGCCAGGTCACCGCGACGGATTGGTTCGGAGGCCCACATGAGGCTCAAGGAAGCCACTAAGAACATTCCATTGAACTTGGCATGTGCGACCCACAGCGGACAAGAAAGTGAGGCCGTAATCTCGGCAGTTCCCACGTCGCGGAGTGAGTGTGAAAACTTTGAGGGGAGCTTGCGTGTAGTGAGGAGAAGAAGGGGTTGCGGAGGCTGCGGAGACTGGAGAAAGCTTCTCCTCCTAAGTAGTAAGCACTGGGGACGAAAGCTGGAGACGGAGCAACGAAAGCTGCAGAACAGCAACTTCGCGCACGACAGCGACTCCGGCTAGATTTATACCTGACACATTCAACGTCAAAATTGCTTCAGATCTGACTCTCGCAGTTTTCCGCTCCATGCGGTTTAGCGCACTCAGGAAGATGCAAGATTTTGTGCGGAAGGAAGCATACCTAAGTACCTAGGTATGCTGCATCGAGAACGCAGCCATACAGTTTGGCTTCGTACAGTCTTCACATCCTTCGGTGCATCGTCATTTACATGAAAGTCGCGACGCGTTCCGCTAAGTCACATGCAGTCTTTACTTGGTACTACCTGGGCGCCAGGGCGTGATCGTGATGTCATCATGTCGTGCAGACTGAACATACTGAAGATACTGAACTTAGAAACCTCGACAAGATATCCTGAAGGGGCATTCTGGAGAACGCTGATGTTGAACTGCTTAAGACGATTCCTAAGCACATTACAAAATGGTCAAAGACAATGAAACCGTAATTGAGTGAGTAGCCTACATGGACTGGGGTAACGCCAAGTGTTTACAACGTCCCAAGAGAGTTCAAGGAGCTTGTCAACATGTCAGCAGACGAACTACAAGACTGGCTCGGCAGCGAGGAGTCCGTGGGAGCCGGCTGGTAAGCTCTACCTTCAATGCAACGCTGACATTGCGAATCTCATGGCATACATTCTCTAAGATGCCTATAGGTCCAAGGATGACGGCTCCGGCGAAACCATCGGTCACGACTCAGGCCGCAAAATCGTCGCCATCTTACAAAAGAATCCAAAGAAAGAGGCCAGTAAATACGAGCAAGAAGACATTGATCATATGCGCAAGGTGGTGGCATATTGCAAGAGGCATCTTGCGCAAGAGGAGAAGGCGAAGAAAGACACAAACAGTAAGAGTTATAAGAGTTTGAAGAATTGGGGTCACGATGCGCAGAAGGCTTGAGCGTATATATCGACGAAGATAGTGTTCAATTGAGGGTTGAAAACTAGAGGAGACAGAAAGAATGGCACAAAGGCAATACTGAGGCCATATAGCATGCTCGTTAGAATAATTGCAAGAGTGCATTTCACAGGATAGCATCACCGAGAGTGTAAAGCACTGAGTTCAAGCCATCCAGATCAAAAGCGGGGTATATTGAAGGCAATCTAGGAAGAAGCTGCGCATAGAACTAGTGTCTTGGTCTATTTGACAGTCGACCTCTTGCGTCCAGCAAAGCGATTTCCCTGTAAAACGTTAGTACGTAGCCTGGATGATAGGATTAGTGGAGACATACTTGCTTGCCACCTAAAGCCGCTTGCGCCTCCATCTCCTCCGTCTTCGTCCTCTCGGGTGGGTTTCTGCGCATGAAGCACTCGCCTACAGGATGACCTTCATCGCAAGCAACGACCCACTGGCCCATACCCATGTCCTTGGGTGCGCGTCTGACACCTCTTCCACCGCCGCCTACTATCAAATTGCCAGGACGGTATGTTGGATCTGCGCGCATACGCTTAATTACGCTGCTGTGAATGATCGCGTTGGCGGGTATATCACGGGTCTCGCCCTTAGGCAAAGGCCACCTGATCGCTTTCCACGTCCCGTCTTCTTGTAAATCCATACGTCTAAAGGGTAGATATTCCATTATATTCCACGAAACGACGCCCATTCGATTGGCGCCGTTGTTGAACTGTAGAACGTCATGAATGCGGCCTCTGGTTGCGGCGCTGTGGAGATGGTTATGGAAGTGCGTGTTAGGGTGTTCGCGGTGGTGGTGAAGAATATTGTCATCGTCGGTGTAGCCAGCTGTGTCGACGGATGGCGCGTCCGAGTTTAGGCGGGGGATGACAGGCGAGGGTGATGCAGGATCGATTGAAATCATCGGTATGTTGTTCCGTGCTTGCGTAACAGCGGTGGTGGGCTCCTCGTGGCAGCAGCTCAGAGCCTCTAGTTTGTCTTCGTCGAATTCGAGACCAGCTTTTTGAGCTTCGCGCACCATCCATACGAGTGCTACATGACTCAAAGCTGCATCATCGTCGCCGAGGGGCCAGCCTCCACCGATATCCTACGCATTGTCAGTGTTAATGGTCTGCTTGAAGGCTAAGCATACTTACCGCATGGCATCCGGGAAACCAAACTTCCTGGATGTCTTGTTCCGCATCTTCGTCTTGGGTGTTAAAAGTTCCCGCGGCGTCAAACGATCGCATCGAAGGAGTAGCGGAGCCGTGAGCACCATCGAGCTGTGAGCGGTCCGCGCTCCGGCTGCGCACGCCTGACGTCTCATGTGGATCCCTGAATCGTTCAGGCGGTGCCAATGTATCCCGCCGACCTCTATCCTCCTGTTCCTCATGGTCCTTCTCGTCGAAATCATGATCCTCATGACCACTGTGCATCAGATCCTTCATGTGCTGCCGATATCTGTGGTGGCGGTGCTTGTATAACATCGATCTGTCTGGCTTCTCCTGGGAGATGAGATCTTGTCTGAATTTTGCGCGTCGTTCGTCAATTGAAACCGCATGTCGTATAACGTTCGCGCTGCTCCTTGCGGTGTAGGGAAACCTGCTGCGTTGCATCCATGCGTTCTCGAAGGCAGGTACGCTATTGACTGTATCAAAAAGACCAAGGAAGCGTATGGGTTTGACTGGGCGGCTGAAAGTCTCCCTGAATGCGCACATGAATTCCAAGAGTTTTGACTTCTCCGACTTCTCGCCAGGTTTGCGCCCATTGCTCCCTTTCTCCTCCGGCAATCGACATTGCCACTTCTGGAATGTCCTAAAAACTAGGTTAGTGGAATTTTCATGCCGAATATATGCTATACTCACTTCCATGCGAATTGGCACATCTCTTCATTTCCAGCCTATCAAGTATTAGACATTTCCTTGTAGTTAGTGGTCAATCGCTTACAGAGAGGAGGCCGACGTGATCAAGCATCTCCGCAAGGAAACGAGCGGTGTATGCACCACGCGAAAATCCGAAGAAGAAGATGTCGTCACCAGGTGTATAGTATCGCATCAGGAACTGTCCAAATCGTGTCAGTCTAATGCGCCATAGTTCTTCCCTCTAGCAATCAGCCGGATGGAGCCGCTTCTTCTCTTAAGGAGGTTAAGGACCTACTTTATATCCTGCCATAACGTGCTGATCAAATGATGTCCCTATACCATGTCAGTTCTCATACACGACAGCCAAGGCCGGTCAAACATACCTATTGCACTGTCCTTCGCCTTCGCATACCATGACTGGAACTTCTCCCATCGACCTGTTCGAGTCATGGATCCATTGGCTTTCGTGACATAGGTGCCGATTCCAGGCTGGTAATAATGAAACTGATCATCCCCATTGCGGTCGAGCATGCGATAAATCTTAAGGATGTTGCTATCTGAATCTGTGCCCGAGAATTTGTTACCCGTACCGTCAAAGCACAAGACAAATTTCTTAGTCACATGATTCGGACGTCGCGACACGGCTCCGTAATCCATAGGGTTGTTGTTAGGTGTTTGTGTAGATACCTGAGGTGAAACGCTCGATAGGTGTGACTGCTCTGGGTTTTTGCGCGCCATGTTGACAACGTAGAACTCAAGCAGAAAGGTGCTTCAAAATGAACGCAGCTCGATAGTCAGACTGAAGCAGTCGCGAAGCGTAAAGTAGCCAAGTAATTTCCATCAACGCGGAGATCGGATGCAGAACCCTTACGCGACTGACGCATGCTCCCCCTCCGGCCTGTCCCCAAAGCTTCCGAACGTATCAGGTCACATTAAGATACTGATCGCCGTTGCTAATGCAACTTGCAAAGACTCTCGCCTATCGACATGTCGACGTCGCATGTGGTGGGTTTTGAGTAGTCCCGCCGCTAATCAGAAGCCGCTGATCGTTCTGAAGTGCCGCCGCCCTACAAAGACTATTAATCTTGAAAGGGCTGATCCGAACTAGCTACCAGGCACTGTCCCACACCCCCACCTACTGTATCAATGTTAATGGTGCGGAAGCAACACAGGTGTCGCAGCGTTGCCTGACAGGAGGCACGACAGATACACCGCGTGCCGCCCCCTTCTTGCCGTAGTTGATCGTAGAAAAGAAACCAAAATGACCCCTTCACCGAAATTGAGCCAATACCACCTTTCGGCCACCATCCTGGCTGGTGAAGCGGCGGTAACCGATACACGCAATGATACGCGATCCAGCAGACAAGCTACGAAAGCTAATGCTGAGTGCGGTGCTCGTAATCACAGTAGTGTCATTTCCTATTGGACTCATGGGCGTTTGAACTCAGCACAACTGTGCCGATCAGAGAGTAGTTGCTGGTGTAGGTCTGCTCGCCGACCTTCGAACAGGAAAAGCACGTCGCGTCGTTTAGAGGTGGTTGGCGCTACCCTATGAGCGATCACTTGTGGGGCACTGGTCCATGCACGGGCCGTCTCGATTCCCGTCGTTGCGACTATCGATCCCACCTCCCACTCATCACAACCACCGCCGGCGTCTTGGACGAACCGGACAGTAAACCTTACGGCTTCGGGACAGGCCGTAGGCCACAGCCCGCAGAATCTAGTACCTAGCTCGATAACGCACTCTACTCGGAGATTTGCAAGCTCACACCTTAGTTGTTGACCGCCACCACATCAGCTGAAACTCCCTTTCGTTTGTTCGCTCGCTAGTGGATGATGCGCATCCATTCGCCGGGAAGCAGGGTCGATCGATTCCAAGCTCGCAAGCGCTAGAGGTTTCTTCTACTACTCAGCCGAAGACTGCTGAATCGGGATATTGATCGCTTGATAGTTAGTCCATAGCTTTTGTCTACGTCTCTGTTTGGAATGGTCGCGAGATCAGGTCGCCGTTTCTGTCTACCACGTCGTCGGCTGCAGTATGCACAATTCTATGCATAGTCTGGCATCAAGAGACCGCCGAAGTGATACCACAACGGGTCCCCAGGCAGTCACGGGATGCTGAAGCGTGAAACGTGGTAAGCGTACCCTTGGGTCAGCCACATATTGCTTTTGGACAGACACTCCACGATGTTACAAAAACCACTCACGGATCATCGCAAGTGGGACACTTTAGTCCCATCCTCTTTGGACCACCCCGATGGAGCCAATGGTGCTGCTGCGTTGTGGGTCTCACCGACGCTGCTCGCAGATCAGCATTTGAACTTGGCATGCAGTACTCACCACCCCTCTGTCAGTTCCCAGTGAAGGTAGCGCCATATCCGTCTAGTGCTACCCTCCACAAAATGGTTCAGAACCAATCAACACTCACATAATCCTAGCCATCAGAGCTTTGACGATATCAAGATCCGGACGCTATCCACACCGTCCCGGTGCATGCATGGGTTCATCCGCCCTCAGTGGAAGCCGCAGGACACTGTTCGCCGTGTGCATATGATGATCAACATACTGTAGCTGCTAGCGATCGTCGTCATGCGACTGGCTCGCCGCTGCTTGCATTGGCTAAGCTCTTGCGTGGGGAGCATTGTGCCTTCCAAGATTAACAGCGAGCTACATCGAACTTACTTTCTAAACTTCCTCTAGTCCTGGGATTCATATTCTGCCCTTTCCCACCCTTTTCACATGGTTATACGCAAAATCATTCATCATGCCTAGTCAAATACAAACATTGATCGGAAAGATCAGGAGGAAGCCCACATTAGCAAGCGATGGCAGGACGGCAGAAGCATCGAGTGGGATGAAGAACCACCAGAAGACTGGCATCGTCAGCGACATTAGAGGTCTCGGTGTTAAGGATGCCAAATTCGCTCTCGACGCTATTACGACCCTGGCGTCCGGCGAGCCTTTGGACGACAAGGATCTTCTCCTCGAGAAGGGAGTCCAGATGCTACAGGGACTGCCTTTGAACAGTGGTCTCAGTGCAAAGGTCTCAGACGGTTTTATTAGCATGCTCTGGAATGACTTGCCACACCCAACGCCTACACATGCCGGCCCTTCAGCAAGATACCGGAAGCACGACGGCTCAGGAAACAATCCTCACAACCCTGAAATGGGCAAAGCGGGATCGCCATATGCGCGCAACGTGCCTCCCACCAAACCGAAAGGTAACCAATCTCTTAATGCAATACACTTGGGAACGAAGACTAACATTCCCATGCAGGACCAAACCTGCCCGACGTCGAAGACGTATACGAGGCACTTTTAAAGCGCAATGGGCCTTTCCGCGAGCATCCATCTGGACTTAATCGCCTGTTCTTTTCTTTTGCAACTATAGTCATTCACGAATGTTTCCAAACCTCTAGGACGAACCCTTGGATCAACGAGACGTCGAGCTATGTTGACCTCAGCACCCTGTATGGCAACACAGAGAAGAGCAGCCGCGCGTACGAACATACAAGAATGGCCTAATATACCCAGACTCAATCGCTTCAGAGCGCATTATGATGATGCCTCCAGGTGTAGTCGCAGTACTTTTGATGTTCTCAAGAAACCACAATCATGTCGCTGAGTCATTACTGTCAGTGAATGAGGACGGCAAATACAAGTCCTGGGACAGCCTTGATGAGGCAGGCAGGAAATGGTAAGCTCGGCATGACTACCGTATCGTAGAATGAGTCTGACACGGTCTATAGGCAAGACGAGGACATCTTCCAGATTACGCGCAACATTAACGTTGGATTCTTCGCTTCGGTCGTGTTGAAGGACTACGTTGCTGCTATTCTGAACACACCACGAGCCAATTCAGAGTGGTCTCTCGATCTTGGTAAAGAAATTAAGCAAGGCGGTACACGTGTCGAGCGCGGGACCGGCAGCCATGTATCCGTCGAGTTCGCTGTTCTCTACCACTGGCACGCTGCTCTCAGCGCTGCGGACGAGAACTGGATGGAGGACATCATCCGTTCCGTATTCCCCGATATTCGTCACATCGACGATGTAACAATCGAGATGTTCCACAAGGTCATGAAGGTCTACGGTCATGACTTGATGAGCAAGAAGCCTTGGGAGTGGACTTTCGGAGGCCTTGAGAGAGGAGCTGACGGCAAGTTCAACGACGCTCAGCTTTCCGAGTTAATCAAAGACTGTATCGAAGAGCCTGCTCACGCTTTTGGCGCCCACGGTACACCGGCCAGCCTCAAGGTTGTTGATCTTATGGGCCAGCTGCAAGCCCGTGAGATGTTCAATGTCTGCACACTCAATGAGTTCCGTCGGTACCTTAATCTGAAGCCGTACGATACATTTGAAGATTGGTGCTCTGACAAGGAGACGGCACGAGCCGCTGAGCTCTTGTATGGCCACATGGAAAACATGGAACTTTACCCAGGGTTGATGGCCGAGTGCACGAAGCCTGCCATGCCAGGTAGTGGTGTCTGTCCTGGTCAAACCACTGGTCGAGGTATCTTGGATGATGCCGTCGCATTGGTTCGCGGTGACCGTTTCTTGAGCTACGACTTTAATAGTAATACTCTTACGCAATGGGGTGCGGCTTTGCTGGCAGAGACGACACCAGGAGCATACGGCGGCGTGTTTCCCAAGCTGCTCTTCCAGGGGCTCCCAGGTGGATTCAGAGGAACGTCCAGCTACGCGCTATTACCCTTCTACACGCCTAAAGCGGCGAAAGAGATTCTTACAGGCAATAAGATGGTTGAACAATACGACCTCAGCCGCCCTCCGAGCGACTACGATATCATCAGCGTCCAGACGCAAGAAGGTTGCAAGAAGGTGTTTGAGGATCGTGAGAATTTCGTTGTCATGTACCAGGCAGCTATTCGCAACTGTACTGCTGGGCATGACTTCATGATCGGATGGGACCAACAGAAGAAGCATGACGAGAGGTCCAATATCTTGCACAAAGTTTTCTTCGAAGAGGGCTTTGAGAAGAACATCAACGAGTTCTTCACAACCAACGTACGGAAGCTCATTAAGCAGAATTCGCTCAAAGGCGCCAAAGGCAGAATGAGCATCGACATTGTTCGCGACGTTACGAACATCACGCCAATTCTTTGGCTGGCCGAGCGTTTGCACTCCCACTGAAGACACAGGAGCAACCTAGAGGTTTGCTCTCTATTCACGAAGCGTTCCTAGCGTACCTCGTTCTATGTAAGTCACACAACTAGCCCATTTCCGACTACGAACAGCCTGCTGATTCACTCCCAGTCATGTACCAATCCTTCAACATAATGCCACACAATGAGTGGAAACTACGAGCGGGCGCCATGCAAGCTGCAGCACCCCTCCGCTCCATCTTCGAAGCCCATCTCAAGTCACAGACGGGACGTCTAGAAGGCCTGGTAGACTGGATGGCCAAGGGCTCCGCCTTCGAAGTAGGTCCACACGCAGACCGCATCTACCATGCGCTTGCCGACACTAAGCTGCCCATTGGCGACATGGTGGGCGACTGCATCGGCATGGGCGCGCCCGTCGCTGGAAACCTAACCCAGCAAGCCAGTCTACTAATCGACTTGTTCCTCTCTCCTGGGTACGAAAAGTACAAGGCTCGAATTGTCGAGCTATCGCACATGGACCCCGCGACCTCGGACCGCGAACTCCAGGGTTTCGTCTACGAAGGAATGCGCCACGTCGGTGTAGTTCCCGGACTCCCTCGCGTTGCAACCCGCGACATCACCATCAACGACGGCATCCGTGGCCCCGTCTCCATCAAGAAGGGCCACACGATCCTCATTGCCACATCAAAAGCCGCCATGGACCCCGTTGCGTTCCCCAACCCCGAGATCCTGGATCCGCACCGTTCATTCAAGGAGTACACTTTACTCGGTCACGGCCTGCACTTTTGCTTCGGTGCCCGCCTCGTCGGCCCCTCTCTCGCCTCCACTCTACGCGAAGTCTTCAAGCTACCAAACGTACGTCGTGCGCCTGGTAAACAAGGTCGTTTCACTATTACTGAGCATAAACTCGCGGGTATCACGATGCGGCATTATCTCGATTCTAGTTCAAAGGAGAGTCCTATTCCCACGAGTTTGCGCCTTCACTACGATAGTGAGGATGTTGTTGCGACCGGGTTGAATGGTCATCTTACTAATGGTCACACGGATGGGCTAGCTAACGGACATACAAACTATGCTTCGAATGGTCATGCCAACGCAAATGGCAACAATGAGCATGGGAATGCGTATACTATTGCGCCTTAGGAAGGCCCAGGTCCACGTCTAGGCCGTCCTTCGGTCTCCTCGTGGTCACTATCGTCGAGTTTGAGTCATTTACGGAAGCACTCTAAGATTTTTTGTTGCAGGAGTGCAAGGGAGTAGATTGGGAGGTGGGTGAAGCAAGTGTGGATAATGGGTGTTCAATCGTTAGATTGTTCGTTGTTGTTCAAAATGATGATACCATTGAACGTTTAATTTAGCTCTAGTTTAGCTTTAGTTTTGGCGTAGTAAAATTGAACTTGTGCACGTCATTTCAGCTAAAGTAGTGAGGCTTCAGTCTTGAGTGAGAAATACTACAATGTAGGGAATGCGAGTGGGAACTACGTCAAGCATCCTAGCGAGGACACATGTCCTTCCCAGCGATACGTAAATCTCGCCTCAGCCAGATTGGGTCTTCTTGAAAACAGCGTGTCAACACTATAATCTACCGATCAGCCAAGATATCGTCAGATGTCACAAATATTGGTTTTACCAATTCAACGCTCTCCGTGCGAATTAGTTAGTATATGATACTATCAAGTCACCAATCGAACTACAAGATGGTATGTATAATCCGTCAATTTTTCCCCATGAAAAGGCCTCAGGTAGAATGCTATAATCAACGAAACATCAAAACATCTACGTCCCTGTTGAAAACTAAAGGCGACGTCCGACGCAAAACGCCATGCTTCCCAACATATCAATACACGAGAAAATACCAACTTATACAAACGACAGAATAGAAAGCTTGTTTTCCTCCTTCCCCCCTCCCCACCACACAACAGCTCTCCACAGCAACATGCACCAACTACGCCATCCTAGGTAACGGCGGAAGGGTACTAGAATCCCACCTCCTCTCACCCTCCATATCAACATCCTCGTCGCTGTCCTCTTCACTCGCATCTTCCAACGCCTCCCTCCTCTCCATCTCATCCACATCCATCAAATCACCATCGTCATCCTCGTCATCTTCATCCTCACTACCCATGACAGGTCTCCCCTCATTCACATCCGGTAACCCACTACTCCTCTCCCCCTTGGGTCTCCCTCTAGACGCACTCTTACCACCCTCCCAGCGATCCAGACGACGCAAAGCTCTGCTAAGCATCTTAGCGCGATAGTAGGATTCCTCGCCGTGGTCGTTGACTTCGCCGCCGAAATCCAAGGGAACGAGGCCAGAGGGCATGGGTGGCGGTGTTTTGGTGCCGAGTTCATAGTCGGGGAGTTGAGCGAATTGTGCGTGCGATTCTTCATCTGTATCATAGCCGTCTGCCATACCTTTGCAGCGGATCCAGCTGCGCATGAAGGGGTTGGCTTTGCGGCGGCGTTTAGCGGCGGCGGCGTACTCGATGCGGATTCCGCGGTCGAGGATGACATCTACGCGTCGCCGACGGTATTGCTCGACGGCGAGTTGGTGTTGTGTGAGGGGACGTGTGCGTTTGTGAGAGGGATCAGACCCGTTGAGTGGGAGGTAGAAGCCGTGTGGACCGTTGAAGGTGGGCGCGGATGTAGAGGGAGATTGGCCGTCTTGCGAGGTTGGACCGTCGAGTTTGGTCTTGAAGCTACGTGCTGCTGGTGTTCCCCCGGCACCTATCCCTGATGTGCGATTGCGCGACCAGTTCCCGCGGCCGGGCCCCTTGGGTGCGGGAGAAGAGGCGGGTCCATCTTCGTTGAGGAGGGTGTTGATGCGCATGTTAGGCGTGGCCACCTTCTTGGCTGTGTTATAGACGCTGTTCGGAGGGATGCTGACCGGGTACGGTCGGTGTCTGAGGGGTAATCTCGTTCGATGATCGATTTGGCAAGCTTGCCACGTCCTCTCGCGGAGCCTGCTGTTGTTAGATCGGTACTATCTTGGAGATCAAGTATAGAGGCTTACCATGGGATGGCGATTGTCTGTCACGGCCAGGTGTCGAAGCACCATCATCGGCGGCTATTGAGAAGACCGGGTTTTGGTTGAAACCTAGGGAAATGTTAGGAATGGTCGGAGCTGAGTCTTGTCGCAACTTCGGTACTCATGAAAAACAGTACTCACCCTTTTTGTTCGTCCGCTTTGGGCCTGTGACAACTGGCGCCATGTCGCTTGCCAATATAGCTGTTCTCTCCTTGCGCTTGATCTCACCAAATGCCTTCTCCTCGGTCGAATCGACGTTCTCCAGCGCCTCCTGCTCAGGCGAAAGTATTTCAAAGGGCGGACACTTGATTGGGAACTCTGCCGTAGTCGGGTCATCAGGCGGTCCCATCTGTCCAGGGCCAAAAGGATTGTTCTCGGCAGCTTCTTTGGTGAAGTCGCTCTCAAGATACCACCACATGAGCCATAGGAAGGCTGTGGCTCTGCTCTTACTGCTCAGGTTGGAGCGCATGACGAGGTCGAAGAAGTCGCGAGGCGGGAAGAAGTGTAGTTCTGAGATCTTGGGTGCGTATTGTGACAGAACGAAGATGAGGTTGACCGGGTTCGTGCGCGGTATGGAAGCTGCCATTATTTCCTCGATGGTGCTGGGCTGCTCATGGTCTTCAGTCGCTCCCTTTAGGATAGACTTCAACCGCGGCGCATCCTGAAGCTGCTTGTAGGCATTGGGATCTTGGTGGGCTTGGAGCGAGGGGATGGAGTGGTAGGTTCGTAGCTGGGCGCGCATCTCTGGGAAGACTGTTGTTTGTTAGGGAAGGTCTGCAAGTGGGTATATGTGGCCTACAATTCAGGGTAGTGTTCATGCGCCCGACGTTGACCAGCAGACACACCATGGCCATGTTGATGGCAGCCGGGCGCTCAGTCAGCAGCTTGTCCTTCAGGATCTTGCTGCACTTGCTGCTCTTGGCCATGGCATCGAGGTAGATGTCGGCAAACGTGTGGCCGCTGGTGCTGTCGGATTGCTTGGTGAAGACGCGCTTGTCGTCCTCGAAGACGAGCTTGAGGAAGTCGAACTGGATGTCCTTGCGCCACAGCGGGATGCCATCGTCCTTCTTCAAATGCTTGATCTTATTCCCACTGTAGACGGACGACACGCTCCCGTTGGCATTGCGGCGGGTCGTCGTGGTTGTTGCCGTGTAGTATGGTCGCGCAGGGTCGTTGTCGTTGGCTGGCCGCGAGGCATCTGGCGCATCGCCGCCAGCTTCGCTCTCATCGGGGACAGGCGTGTTTGCTTGCGATGCGTCGGGCTTGGAGTCGTCCATTTGGGGGTCTGCGGCCAGGATGTGTCGCAAGCTGTTTCTCGAGTCGGGCTCGTCGGCGCGCGGAGGCAGAGGTGCGGTTGTCGCAGCAGGCCTGTCGTCCATGACGAAGACGCGGTTCGGGGATTAGCTTTGGGTGCTCTGTGTACGGTTCCACTAGTCCTGTGCTGGTTGCGCTGTGGGATGGGATTGGCCCTGTGTCGCCTGAGCTTGCGACCTGGCTTGCTATCCCTGTGGCGCGACTTTGGGATCTGAGATGGTGTGTCTCAAGCCTTGCGCGTCTCGAACAAGCAAGAAAGCGTGTCGCAACCTCAACTACTGCGAGAATAGCTAGTCAGCCGTCAATCGCGAAGGAGGAAGATGCATCAGTGCGGGAAGCGCATCCAAGCCCAAGCTTAGACGCTAAGACCCCGAACCAACGGATGCCACTCAACGCGATTCCATCACGAATCCCCTCGGCGATAGCCAAACCTTCCGCCGATGAGGTTCTAGACACATCGCGCTATATCTCGCAGAGAAACTCATTTTCCTTCTTCCATTATCACTGTAATCAATTTCATCTCAAGGTAACGAACAAGATGACTTTGAATATTTATGTAAAATTCTTTTCATTTCCCATCTGTAGTGGTCGGCTCTGTTTGCATAACCTCTACCCATGAAGCACGCCAAAGATATAACATAAAGTAACCAGGATATCTCAGCGAAGGTAGAAAACTAAAAACACACAAAATGCGCCACGCTAAAGCCAAGGCCAAGCTGTCGCAGAAATAATGGGAAGGGATGGGGTATGCAAATGAGAAAAGCATGCACAACTCCTCGCGAGTCGATTTTGCTTCCTCGCCCATGCAAAAACGCCTGGTATCGCTGGATATACATACAAGAGCCGAAAAAGGAAGAAGAGCCAAAGTCCGAAGTAGCCAAGGATCCAGTCCGTGGTCCTGAATTAAGAATCCAAAAATTAAACACAAATCTTGGTATACATCCTCATGTATCATTGTTGTCGCCAATTCGACCCGACGGCTTGCGCTCAGTCGAATGCCGTTTCTTCTCGTACCATTAGGGGGTTGGTGTTGTTTTGAGAGTACATTCGTGGATCGTATCGTCCGTCTCCCCGTTGAGGGTTGGGTCCACCTGGGCCTTTGCGTTGGCCCCCCATGCCCATGTTCATCAGAAGCATGCCGCTTTCTCGTTTTCGCTGCCGCTGTTCTCGAGCTCCGCCGGATTGTACGGCTCCGTTCAAGCTACCGTACCCCTCCCCAGAGTTGTATGGTTGATCGTAGGCTGGAGTATCGTAGCTGGGTCGCATTGGAATGAAGCCTGAATCATAGCCACTGTATTGACCTTGTTGTTGCTGCTGCTGCTGCTGCTGCTGCCTGCTGTTGTTGTTGTTGTTGCTGATATTGCTGTGGAGGTTGTGGGGGTGGATAGTTGGGAGCACTGTTTCCTTGATAACTTTGGGGCGGTCGATCCATACGCTGCTGGAAGGTGGTCTCGTTGTACGCAGGCGTTGGGAGATCGGAGAACATCTGCCTCCGTGGAGATCGAATGGCGTCGTCGCCTAGGTGAGAAGTGTTGTTCCGGATCTCATGGATTGGGGAACTTGCTTCATCGAGAGCAGTACCAAAGATGTCGGTGTAGTCAGTCAAGAAGAAAGATATCAATGGAGCTGGAATGTTCAGAGTAGGTGCAAACACTATGCCGACATTTCGCACGGTCATCTTGTTCACCCCGGAGTTGTCCACAATCTCAATTAGGAACGACGCCAGGTGTCGCAACAACTCGAAGTTGGGCCTGGGAAGCTTGTGCACGAGAACGTTGAAGCTCTGGATCTTCTTACTACGTTCGTCCATGTCTAAAACGTGTCAGTACATGGCCCGATTGATCAAGTTCATCCAGAAGAAACACTTACCGAGAACTTTGAGGAAGTCGAGATGCAGTTCCCGAGTTAGAACAGAAGCTGGTAGTTCTCGCAGGTACAGCTTGAGGAGCGATGCCACAGCGTGAACATCATAGTATTGCCCGTCCAGAAGCTTGATATCTCCTTCGTTGTTAAACCGATCACGCAGGCCCTTGATGACAATGTTCGACCCACTAAGCCTGAAGATACCTTCTTCGCTAATCGCCTTCTTTGCTCGAAGGTACTCCAAGCACCTGTAGACGACAGCCGGTAGCGCCACATTGACACCGTCAGGCTGTGTGAATTCCACGGCTTCCATAAGCGGAATGCCGAAGACGCTGCGGCCTGGAGGTAGGCGATGTTCCATGGTTGGCTGCAGAGGGGTACTGACTTGTACCGGTGCAAGATCGGAGGAACCGCCACGACCTCTGAAGCCGAATATGCTGCGTTTCTTGTCCTTGACTGCCGTAGGTCCCCCCATCAGTTTGCTACCCCAACTCTCAGAGTCCTTGATGGGAGTGCCGTTGCTGGGCCCAGAGATAGCAGGATAGTGACCTGAGTTGTCCTGTAGAAAAGATGATTCCTTAGGTGACCCTCGGGAAGGCTTTTCCGTCATCATGTCTCGGTGGTTGGGACCTCGAACAGGGGCTTGGGCTTGAACGGCATCGTCATAACTGAGACCCTGTAAGCGATCTTGCTCTGCCACATCAGGGCTTTCTCTCCGCTGAGAGCGCGTCGAGTCTTGGCTGGCCTGCTGCTTCTGGAGACGTGTAGTAGAGGGGACGTGAATTTCGATTGGCGAGGTTTCATCTGGTATGTCGACATGTTGCAAAAGCGCCTCAACCCAAGCATCTCGCTCTTCATCGTTTTCCGCACACAACACATGACGAACTAAGCTTGTCGAGTCTTTCCGCTTTGGCTCCAAGATGAGGAAGGCGTGTCGATATTGGTTGTCCTCAGAGTCGTCCTTTCGTTGTGGCGATTGGTTTGACTGCTGTTGTGACTGTTTCCCGATTTGTGCGTTTTGCAACTTGATCGTTCCTAAATGCGCACCACCTTCACCCTCAAAGTACCTGAACTCTGAGCCATCCAGGACAAAGAACCGCGCTTTCCAGCCTCCGAAGTTCTTACCACGCTTGGTAAGGTAACCCACCTTGCGCTGCGTCCTCTGAACAGACACTGTTGGACCTGGGGTAGGCTCGGGGGCCAATCTGTCGCCGGCTTGTGCGCCAATGACATCAGTGGATAGGTAATCGCACACAATCAAGGCCGTTCTTTCGTTCATGGGGGTTTCCAGGACAGTATCGAAGTATTCGTTGAGGGCGACCCTTCGAGCATCAATCTTGGCAGGCGCATGACCCCCGAAAAGACCGCGATCTGGAAGTTGTCCCTGGAAGTCGCACAGGGATCTCAGCTGGGAATCTAGAGAGGGCAGCGTAGCGATTGTCTTCTCCACGCGCCAAAGCTGTTTGTTATCAGAGCGAGCGTAAACAGCGAGAATAAAGACAGGGTCCTCCTCTTGTGGTCTTGGGGCTAGCATGCTCATACGGGACGGCCGAAGGCGGGATGAGAAGACCTTCACTTGAATAGAGGGTAGCGCATTGGGAGGCAGCAAGAGTCCAGGGTACTGATCTGAGACGAGTCCTCGATAGACGTGTTCTGCATCAGGAACATCGTTCAAGGTAGGGCTACTCGATGGCGATTCTGGACTAGGTTGCGCACCTGGTACTGTCAAAAGGCCTGTAGACGCTTCTTTGCGGAGCTGATTGGACTGCTGACTCTGATTGACCGGAGGAGATTGATACGACTGAGGTGTATTCGGAGGGAGAGGAACTTGTTGCTGCACTGTCCGCCCAGCTGGTTGATTGGTAGCAGTTGGCGACATGGGCGGTGATGCTATTGACTGCTTGGGGTTCCTCGGTAGTGGTGACCCAAGTGGCCTGTCGGTAGGCCTAGGACTAGAAGGAAGTCCTGGACTCATGAGTGGTGATGCGACACTTCGGTTCGCCATCATAGAACTATCCGAATTTGCAGGACTAAGAAGAGCGTTTAAAGAGTTGGCTGGTGGGTGACGGGGAGAGAGTGGAAGGCCCGATTGCAGCGCATTGAACTGTCGCGGCGAAAGGGGAACCGGGACCGCCTGAGGTTGATCGCTTGCTGGTGTTTCAGAAGGCGTCGCTTGTTTGCTCTTGCTTTCGCTTTTCTTCTTCTTCGACTTGCTCCTAGCTTCCTCGTCTTGCGAATACAGAGCTTCGCGTACCCGATCATCTTCCTCACGGGTCTTTCTCCTTCCCCGCAACTCTACAACAGGTATCTCATCCACTTCCAATGTATCGTCATAATCTGAATCGACATCGTCGCCATGTACGGCTTGGTGGAGATGTGCGCTGGTGGTTATGGGTTTCGAGAGGTTGAGCGGAGCTGGCGGAGCCTTGCGCAGAGGTTGCGGAGTCTTTCTTGGAGGCGATTCAAAGCCGTCGCCGCCAATGACAGGCGTGGCCTGAATCAGAGATATCTGTGGAGGCTGGAGTTGTGAATCGCCTGGAACCAGCGTCACATCGGAGGTATTCTGAGGAGGCGTAGTTGGCTTCGGTGCCTGTTCTGAGTGTTGAGCAGCATCGCTGGGTTGTAGCAATATGGCGTCGAGGCCGAGACCCTTGCTACCAAGGCTAAGGGGTTGCACAGAGTAGTCGGTGGGTGAATTTACTGCTGATGACAGATTTGATGCGGTGGAATGAGATGGCGACGTCGCTAGTTGTGAGTCTGGTATGAGCTGTGGTGCCGGGTGCTCTTGTGTCAAGGGCGATGTCTTGTGCTCTACGGCTTTCGTGTCGCTGAGTTTAGCGAATTCGCCAGTTGGCTCGCTGAGGGCTGGCGACTGGCTCGTCTCGCGTTCCACGACTGAGTCGAAGGTGTCGGACTTCTGTAGTGAACCAGGACCTGGTGGTACCTGTTCAGCGTACTCCTTGAATTTCCTGCGGTAGCGGTCCTTGTCCTTCAATGCGCGCTCCAGGTCTTTCTGCAACCCGATGATCATGGACCGTTGCTTCTCAACCAGCCGCCAGAGTTGCGCGTTGTGACTTGACGTATTTTGCTTCTCCTTCCACAATGCTAGCATCGCAGCCTCTGGTGAGCCTGCTGTGGCTATCAAAGCGGCCATATCTGGGGGGTTCGCGGTGCTCGTATCTTGCGATGGTCGGGGCGCATGGTTGGCAGGAGGGCGGTTCTGGGAGGCAGTCGAGGATAGTGATGATGCTGCTGAGTCTATTGAGGGGTTGCGGACAGGCACCGTCGGTCTCGTCTCAGGTCGGTTCGGCCGCGATGGTGGAGGCATGGTGACAGGTGACGCTGGTGGGGAAATTCCAGCCGAGGACAGCGTGGGCGACGACACCTGCCGGAGTTTTGCATACGCAGACGGCCTCGAAGGCTGCGTGAAGTTTGGGGCAGCGACGTTGGGTGGTGTAGGGGGATGCGCTGGCTTGGTTGGGCGAATGGGCGAGGTGTGATGTTGCTCCTCCGCAAGCAATGCGTCAAGCTTCTCGCGCGGACTACGCGGTTCGTCGAAGCGGGGTGAGTCTTGATAGGACGACTGCTGATATGAGGACCCGTTATTGCCAGTTGGATACAGCGGAGTCGGGACAGGCTTGCGACGTCCTCGGATTTGGTGTTGCTCGTCTGTAGTGGCCGGCACGTTGTGCGAGCGCGTCGAGTCGTCGCGAAGGCTGCGAATACTCTCCGCAAGGGACGGCGAGGATAGAGAGTGGAAAGGTGACGACGGTTGGTGCTGAGGAATACGATGTGCCGTTGGACTTTCCTGAAGCATATGCATGTCTGTATTCGTCGCCGCCATGTTCAAGTCTCAAACGGGCTAGCCGACGACCGGGATATCTGGTCGACAGTATAGCAGATAGTTAGTGGGGATTAGTGTTTCGGTGACGCTCTGAGTGTCTGGTGAAATCAAAGCTGCCACGCTCAGCAGTCTCGTCAGCATCTGGGCGTCCCGCGCAGCTTGAGACAAGTCTCCGTCAGAAGGAGCAGCCGGAACAGAAGAGATTTGGGCTTGTAGACTGGTGGGTTCTCATTCGGCGCCATAACCGCCCTTGTAGGAGCCGGGCCAAATTCAAGCCTGGGACCTGCAGCAGAAGCGAGCCCTGGAGGCCTTTGTCTCCATGATCGCCTCCGCAGGCCCTGATGGCTGTGTCCCCTCACGTTTGAGATATGCCCAAAGCCATTTGCATCCTAGTCGACAACATGCCGGTGTAGGCGCCAAAAGCGTGCTTTGGGCTTCTCATTGGTTTAGACCTGTGGCTTGCTAGCCTTAATAAACTACGAGCTATCATCCACTGACGGTCTTGTGCAGAAACGAGATGTCCGCGTGGTCTGCTGTCGCTGGTGCCCGCAGTCAAGCTGACAGCAGCCTGACAAGGCGAATTTTGCGAAATACCCACCTATTGGCTGAAAAGCAGATGATTTGGCATACGAGTTCTGAGGGTGTATTGATTCGGCGGTCCAGTAATTTGCGATTCATGGTAGACTCGAAGGTGCATTTCCGCCACACATCTGGCCGTCAATTGGGTCCACGGGTCGTAATCATGTCTCTGGCGCACGGATAGCGTTCGAGTTGAAGGGCTGGGTCGCTGCGGCGAGAAGGATTCTCCAGGCCAAATCGAGGCTAGACCCGTCGATCAGCTGTCATTGGCCCAATCTCTCGTGGCTTAATCAGCCGCAAGCCATAAACTTTGAAAGATGAACGATGTCCGTGTGCCATTGTCAGCAAAAGCACTCTGATCATCCGCTTTGCGTTGCGACCGAATATTCGAGTATCTTCACGCTCCTGCTTGAGACGCTTAATGGTATCGTACGATTCCTACCGACCTACGATTACATCTGAAACCCATCCGCCGTCAAGCGAAGTGTGCTGCAGGGAGCCGCTGATAGCTCCACGACTAGCCCTTAACAGTCGACGCATGGTGATCACAAGCTGCACGCCAAAGCCAAGGCTAGATTAACAATATTCCTTCGCAACACTGTATCAGGGGTAACTCGAGTGCAAGAAGCCGAGAAACGTCTTTTGTTTTTCTGTTTCTGAACTAGTACCCGCAGCGTGCCGTGGAGATGAAGTGTGACTGAAGTCTGGAACGAACATCATTACTTGGACAAGTAAAGATGCACGGCATGAGCAGCTCTCTTTCGCGGTCCATCAGCATTACTCCTTCGACGGCATTCACATCAACAACCCATGCAGGGTCAACCTGAGGCAGACGCGACCCCAAAGAGGTGGCGAGCATGATCCGGGACAGCTGTTTCCACGCGCGTTGCGTCAATCTGCAAGCTCTCTCCACGTCCAATTATACTTCGCATATCAAAGTTCCGAAAGGCAAGGCCGAAGTATTGTGATCTTCACCACTGCACTTTCGCAGTTTGCTTTCTTCGGGAAAACAAATCATCCATGTTTAAATTGACACCAATTCCGGGCAGAGACAAACATTGACTTCCCTACCATGCTCACACGTTATTGCAGTAAAAGAATCCTGTCCTCGTTTCCAAAGGTAGTCGCTTCGGCGGTATCAATGCATATACATCCATACGAGAGCTTCCGTCCGGGTTGTGAGCTCCCGTCCGACCGCTTATTACCGCCTAGGCCTACAGTTCCTGCCGTCAAACGTGGAGAAGGATAGATCGGATGGTAGGGGAGTGCCAAGCTGTATGCCAATAACGCCTATCGGAACTCCAAGATTGTGTGCGCCATGAAGCAGATGCTGCTTGGGTATCCTGGCATCGCTAGCCCTCACCCGGCAGGTAAACGTCCATGATAACTCTCAAAACGTTTCGGCTTCCGCCCGCCGCAGTAGGGTATCCATCAGCGTGTAATGCTGCACCCAAAGCCGCCAGCGGCACGAGACGTTCCAGTCGAGCGTAAGCGCAAGTAATCGGTGCTGTTATGGGGAAACCCAAAACACTCGTTATGGGCCTCTAGTTCGATGTTACAAGAAGGATAGGCCTACTGAGCGAGTGCCAAGTCAGTGATTGCCCTGGGTACGGCAAAATGTGTAAATGCGGAAGTAGAGTTTTCAGAGTAGTTCTCAGCAAAACAGTATTCCCAATGTGGAAGTTGGGTTTTGTGAAGCATTCGTTTCTTATTGTTCCATTCCGAGACCAACAGTGCACAGCTGCCATACCAACGCAACGAGACAATATATTGAGCAACCACACAATCTTGTCATAGCTGCACTGAGCTTGGAGTCTACAATCCCTATATCTTCAAGGAGGCCCACGATCTGTACAATTACAGGACAACATGGTTGCCATCTAGATTCTGGCAACCAGATCCGGATGAAGCATCTGCTTTTGGATTCATGGTTCCGGCTTCCATACTTCCGACACGACTAGCCTGATAGTTGCGATCAAACATTCGCTAGTCTAATTCGCAAATTTGTTTCGAGATGAGTAAGGTTGCCAACGTTGTAATCTTCCTCATCGGTGTTGACGGCCTCAAGTAACGTTGCAGCCTACCTAGGTCATCATCAATTTCGATCGAAATGCTAGTCGGCTTCCCGCTTGGGACTATTACTATGCTCCCATATACGCGCGAGAGGATTTCGACGGCGGACAGGATCTGCACAGATACACTGTCTTCGAACGGTACGAGGAAGCTTGTTTTACCAAGTTGCACCTATTACTGAAATGTACCCTGACGGTATACATGCTAAGCTACGTTAAAACTCGAATAGTAAAGCAACAGTAGATATCTCTAGAGGGCAATTTCAATGATAGGTACGACCCATATAAAATAAGCTTCTTCATAGATCGCTCGTTCAACATAGGGGAGACTAGACCAGTCCTATAAGAACATTATTGCCAAATATCATATTTCTGGTGTTGTCGAAAGATATGCTCACCCGTGGGGAAAGATGAAGAGATAGCCACTGATGTCTTTAGTGTTATTGAGTCGTTAATGTGCCATGTATTCCTTCTAAATGCGCATCGTACAGGCCTTCCCATGCCCGCATACTGTACAATATCATACACTCGTATGCATGCTGTCTTCCACCTTACAATCCTACTCTTCCAGTACCACCCCGTTCCATCTTGTTCAACCGTCGCGCAGTCGCAATCTACATCCGTTAGCACACATGCCCAACATAATCGCAGCCTCGCTCCCAGGATAAAACATGCCTGTGTCCTTGTTCTCTGACCCCTCACAGGCAAACCCATAGCATGTCTCCTTCCGCGATATGTGCCCATATCCCTCAATCTCCGAATGTCGTCCTGCACTTGCCGCCGTAAATCGTTCTCAATCTTCATATTCGCCAGCTCAGCCGTCAGGTCCATGACTGTCGCGTTTTTCAAGCTGCCAACTTTCGCCCATGGGTGGATGTAGAATTTCGCCATGATGCGCTGCGAGACTGAGGGTCCGATGCCGAAGAAAGATTCGAGGGATCGCTTTACAAGCGTCGCTTCCGTGAAGCTGAAGCCGTTGATGAACACCTGAAACCATCAGTAAGATACTCTCAAGGAGAACTGGACGATTCAGTAGCGTACCATGGCGGATCAGCGTTCCGACGACGAATTCGCGTGTTGAAGTGTCAATTATCTTGTCTGATCTCGAACTCCAGACTTCCGTTTCCCACTAGTCCCGATAAGTCCTAGTTCGATGGTGCGGGCAATCGCTCTGTACCCAGGTAAAACGCAACGTTTCAACATTCACTCCACCATTGCACTTAAGGCAGGGGGCTTTCCAAACTATTTAACCCTGTGACTTCCCTCGATTGCTTCCCGACACAATCAGGCATCATGGCTACTATCCAGAGAGCTGTCATCTCGCTCCTCTTGATCCTTTCGATCACCTTTGTCTTCTTTGCTCAGAGCACAGAGGCTGCCAAGGGACCGAAGATCACCCACAAGGTGTGTATAGCTTGCAATTGAGGATATATGGATGGCCTTGCTAACTGGACATAGGTGTACTTCGACATCACCCACGGCGATGAAGAGCTAGGCCGCATCACCATCGGTCTTTACGGCAAGACCGTCCCCAAGACCGCCGAGAACTTCCGGTACGACTGCGTATAATCCCACGTGTAGCTTCTGGGTCTAACAAATACGACAGCGCTCTGGCCACTGGCGAGAAGGGTTTCGGGTACGAGGGCTCTACTTTCCACCGCGTTATCAACAACTTCATGATCCAGGGTGGTGGTAAGTACAACTGATAACACACTCTGAAGAGATTCGCAGTACTGACAAAAGACTAGATTTCACAAAGGGTAGGTCCACGACAGCATGAGCCACACGCGATCCACACACTGACGATGTAATACTTGAATAGGTGACGGAACTGGCGGAAAGAGCATTTATGGCGCCAAGTTCCCTGATGAGAACTTCAAGCTCAAGCACACCCGCAAGGGTCTCCTCAGCATGGCCAATAGTGGAAAGGGCGAGTAACTCCCATGTACGAACTGCCTATGAGACAAATACTGACTTGGTATACCGATCTTTAGACACCAACGGGAGTCAGTTCTTCATCACCACCGTCGTCACCAGCTGGCTCGATGGCCGCCACGTCGTTTTCGGAGAGGTCCTCGAGGGCTACGAGGTCGTGGAGAAGATTGAGAATGTAAAGAAGGGACCTGGAGATAAGCCGGTTGAGACTGTCAAGATCGCCAAGAGTGGCGAGTTCGAGGTGCCAGAGGAAGGTATTCACGCGGAACTCTAGACATCAGTATGCATTCTTTGCTATTGAGTCGATCCCTCAGGTTGGAGAGCTGCTGATAGTTGTACCATTTCTTCAAGATTTATACGGACTTGCTGAACCCGCCATTCCTGGCGACGAACTCGATATCACGGCAACTCCGT